CATGTTGTATTATTTTTGTGTTCTACATCAGTCAGAGATATTGTCATCTTATTCTGAAACACCCTGTAGATTCGAATATTTTTCTTTGTCATTCTCCATGTCAAACATATTCGGCTTTCACCGGAAGTTACAAATAAACAAGCGAATCACAAACACATATGGTAAGAAGTAACAATTTCACTATTGGGAAGAAAACGCAAACGGCTTAAGCCCGCCTGACCTCGCAAATTACGCATAATACTAATTAAACAATAACGGATACGCCTTCTCAACCAGCAACCAGCTATTGACACTAATTAAATATATTAAACTGGCTGCTAATCGCGTAGCCGACGGGATTTCTGTTCGCTGAATATACAGAGTGATCAAAAAACAGAGGCAATATTTCTAGAGCACGAAGTCTTTCTATTACAAATAATTCTGTTTCATCGCAGATAACGGTAGAAAGAGGTTTTCCACAAGGGGGCGTCATACGACCTCTACTAGTTTATCTTGGTAATAGATCTCGAGTCCGAATAATATACGTACGATCCAATATGCATATGATTTCTAGCCAAGATTTCAAAAGCGCAATTAAGGACCGTACCATCAGTCGTCTCTACAATTATAGGACGCCTTTATGGCCTCCTTGATTGTCATAGTCTTTTCTCTCCTTCAGAAAGGCTGAAGTATTTCTAGATTTCACCTGTTCCGTGTCAGCGTCAGCACTCTCCTATTGTGAAGAATGTTTTCTTTTTGAATTGTAGGAAATTTCAGGGTTATAAAACAGATGATATAAATCAAAAACATGAACAATTTGATGCAAATAGATATTTGAGACATAATCTCAAAATAGAGCGCTGACACGGAACAGTAGAAAACTATGAAAATCAAGAAGGCCATAAAGGCATTCTTCAATTATTGTAGGAACGATTGACGTCACGGCCCTAAACTGAGTCTATGTACGAAAGTACGTTTGTGGTTTTCTCTTACTTGTTTGCCTCTGAACACCACAAAAACAAGTTGGATGAAAGTCATACAACAGATTGTGAGGGTTTTTAGGAGTTTATATTGACCAAGCACCTTCTTGGGCTGGACATACAGAACATGTAGAAAAAAGGTTAAACAACTCATGCTAATTCACTCAAATACTAAATAAATATCCAGATCTTAAAACTGAAGAATGTATACTTAATTTTTGACATATATTTTACCGACATAATAGCCTCGTAAATAGGCTATTTCTAACGCAAAAAGGAGCGTTGAAATGCATGCTGAAAGTTTCGTCTAGAGAAACATGCAAAGGTAACTATAGCTGCAATATACAGGGTGTTTCCTAAGTGAATGTCAGTATTTATCGGGGCGGTTTTTGGGTATATTTTAAGAAGGACACTTCATATAAACATATGTCCTAAACGTCTTAACTTTTGAAATAGAGGGTAGAAAAGTTTTAAGAAAATAAATCATTTATTATTAATATCTGTAAATACCACTTGGATATTTTAATGGAATTTTGCATACATAGACTACATTTCTTTTAATTTCCACGGGTGGTGTTCGTGCGGAATTTTACCTGCCTATTCTGTTCTAATTTTTAGTTTTTCTGTGTGACGCGTATTTCATATTGTAATGATGTACTGCTATTTGCAGACTATTATTATTATTATTATTATTATTACAAATTTGGCCTCTGTTTTCTGAATCACCTTGTATATACATATTCTCAGGTCGTATCACCTACCACATGATTCCTTTCACCTAACAGTGTGTACAAAACAGACACATTTGTAACTGGTAACCCATATTCGCGTGGCTATAATATATCCTTCCACCCACATAATACTCGCACAGCCAGACGTTCCGTTATCGCAACACAGTTCGCGATGTTCGAACATAAACAGTTTATTCTGCGAATGGAACTGGCTCATTCAAAACAAAACCGGGCGAATTATAAATAAGAGTTAAGTAAATTGACCTGTAATTTACGCGCATTGGCAAAATTCATGGCTTTTGATCAACATTTAGAACCATCATTTACAAAATACTCGTATAATGAATTTCTGAACCTCTGAAATATACAGTAAGATGAACCCATTTTCGAGGTACGCACGGAAAAAATAACGATGGTTCTCATTGTTCGATAATAAATTGCACCAACTTCAATTTAATTTAAAACAGTTTTGTTTGTCATATGATAGATACTTCGTTAAAATTTCAACAAAATGCGAAAAACGCTTCCAGATAAACTAAGAGCCAATAAATACGGAACAGAGAGTGGACAGGCATACAATCATATACATTTCCATTAACCAATGTCATGGAGAATGTGAGCATGTGTCTCTTATTGGTTGAAATTTTTCCATTTGTATTTGAACATTACAGTGATATATTCACAGTGACTTCCTGCATGAGCATGTCACTAGTCTCGCATGTAGCTCTCGGGCTTAAGTCATCGTGGAACAGCACCATATTCATCAGTAATCAATAACCTAGAATTGAAATGCTATATATGGGCATATACCATCTTTTTGAGGATTACTTTCGGTTCAAAATTTCGGACGTATCAATAAAATAACAAAAACGGAGCTTTCTCAACAATTCCCTGACACGCCCATTGAGGCAAAGCGATCCGAAAACAACAGGAGCGACATTTGTCATTGCATACGCTTCGCTTTCTATCGCTACAATGGCGGGCCCTTATTTGATTATGTGTAAGGGAATCCAGCGATATTTCGCTTCTCTTCTCTCTCAATGGGCGTACGTATTCTAAATGGGCGCATAAGCATTATACGTATTATACGTCATAAATTAAAGATTGCTTGTCACCAGAACGGCCCCCAAGTTTTCGGTTTTTATCCCAATGGCAGCGACTTCAAATTATGCTCTCGATAGGCAGCTAAAGCTGTCAGCATTAGATGGAAAAAAGACAGATTTGATAGATTGAAGCAAGGTTCTCAGGGTATTTGAGGCTAGGAAAAAAATGGAATCAAACTCCCAATTTTATTTTTTTTCTTCTCAGATGCCATGCAAACCTCGTCTTAAGCTGTTTCCAACCTTAGACATAACCGGCAACCTAACTAGCGAATTGCGTTGTACGAATAAAAGACGGCGGATGGAAAGTGAGTTATTTTCAGTTACACAAATAAAGTAGATTTATATTTTTCCCTGGAAAATGTCCATAGTTCTAGTAATGGCCATTATTTGAAAATACTTCAAGAATCCACTAGTTGAAGAAGGAACAAGTTTTACTAACAAAAAAGCTATTTATATTATTTTAAACTATATTCAATATTCACGAGATAAGTCCTATAAAATTGTCATTACACTTTCTTTGGACAAGGCAGTACAGAAATTTCCTACAAAAGTTGGCGCGTGAAAAAGTTCTTATACGTCCGTAATTTCTTCAAAATTCGTTTAAAGTTTACATTTGGAGCATAAATCACAGAAACGACATGTAAAGTGACGCGAAATCATAGAATTCAAGAGATGCATCATCATCATACTATTACCCATTATTTATTATATCTATTATTTGCATTTTTCACAAGCAGCCACAAACACACTTTAAAGGGGTATAGTTTCATAAGATACTGACTGCATACAACCACCGACAGTGGAACAAGTTTGATTATCAGTGCCGTCATTCCCATTTTTCAGTGTGTGATCATTTTTGTCAGTGGTGCTATGCGTACTGGAGCATAGCAATATTTCCCAAAACTTTTACTCTTTACTGAAGGCTAAATACAAGAAGCATGTAAATTTTTTTATTTACTCACTTTCTAGCACTTCACACGCCGTCCGCATGGTGGTCTAATGTAGAAAAAGGTAAATTGCTGCGGTAGTAGAAAAAAATCTTATTACGAGTGCCAACTATTTGCTCCACTCTCAAAATATTTCCGATTCAAAAGCATTTCTCCAACGACTACGTTATAGTATGCTCTCTTAATGCACACAATAATTTTGACGATATTTTTTAAAGGCTGTCAGGGCTTGACGTCATTTTGCAGAAAGGGGTTTATTTCGAATAAAAAGTACCTTCCTTTCACATTTGAATTTATTTATTTAAAAAAAAACTACATCAACCTCGCAAAGGCTATTTGTGGCATATGTTAACGTATTTATAAAAAATGAAGAATATTAACATTTATACTTTGAAGTCGATAAATTTAATAAAAATTCCGTGATTAAGTCAACAGTGTTTATTTAACACTTGTAAGTGATTTGCATTTCTGGTGCGTATGTAGGTTTCTCGAAAATGTGTATGTGTTAATCGGATATGACCTAATCCTTAACCCTAAACCGTAAAAAAACTATTTGGTCTCTTGTGTTTGGAGGAAGGTTTAACTTTGTTGTGACTGATATCATGTTATTTTTTACTGCAGCTGTTAGTCCCATTTGACATGCCAAAGCTTGGTTAAGTAATCTTCAAAAAATTTATTCAAGTCTCCGTGAGGTGTTCTTATCGATGGTATTATTTGATGAGGACGATGTCCTTAACGCTACTTTATCTTCATCTCCATTGCCGGGTATTCTAGTATGGGATGGCAGCAACAAAAACTGTATGTTTCAGCTAATGTACATATTTCATTGATATGGTTGAGAATGCAGTTACGGATTACATCATTTAATACCTTTCAGTGCACTCAATGAATTTAGAATTATTAATAAGTTCGAGTCCGATATCAGCTGTGCAAATTCTCCATTATGAATACTGCACTGTTCAGCGAGTGCAAAACATATCTGATTGTTGTTGGAAATAGAGGCATAACATCCCTACGAAGTGTTGTATATAGTCTGAATAGTCACTCCTGTTTCATAAATCTCTTTCACATCTCACTTTAGGCATATTTCAGGTTATGTCAAAGTTTGTTTTTATTGTTATTGCAAGTCTAGAATAAACACCAAATGTACGGTGATAATCGTTGGAGTCGCGAGAATTAAGCTAATAATTGATGTAATGGGAATTCGGAGCGTATCTAATCAATAGAATGTTGAGTCATATAAATCTTTGTGAGTCATACCATTTTTTTCGTGGTCCGAATCGAAATCTTGAAGAGGAGACGATTCGCGCACACAGGACATCAAACTGAGTGGACCGACCCCCGAATGGTGAGTTCCAACAGCAGCAGATGACATCTGGAAAGAAATCAACATCATTAAACCATTTTGAGAGCTACACTTGAACGAAAGAGCGACAGCAATATTATTTTAGGTTGCTTATTCTATTTCCAAGCATTATTTCTAGAACTGTTTGGGCGCATATCACTCTCAAACCAAGAACCACTGGAAAGCAACTCTGGTAACTCAGTGCTTATGAGTTGTAGGCTTCATTTCAGAATAAGAAGTAATATTTGTAATCTGCCTACTGATTCAGGGTTGGCTCACAGAAGAAAGCCCTTTAGTTTTTCAGATAGTGCGGGATCCCCACATCCTCATGGACATATCTATGCGATTCCACCTTTGATTTTTCGTAGTCAAGAAATGGTCTGGGTCCAGGGCAGTTCTAGCTTTTGTAGCTTTTGTTTTAGCCCATGCAAAAAATACTGTTTTTGGGTTTAAGAAAGTTAAGAGCACAAAAGCACCCAGTGACATGACCTTTGGAGTCATTGCAATTACTTTTTTCATTCTAGAGTGAATGAGTGGTTCTGGTTGTTCTTGTAATATCTGTAAACAAACAAAAGATGTATGTTTTTCTTAGGCAAACATAAGGGTCATACTCTGAAATGCAGATTGGTTTTACAACCAATTACTTGTTGGTTGTTGTATTTGCTCTTTTTGCTATAATACATCATGCACTCTTAGTGAGTGGGTAAACAATTTTATGGGCAGTTTCATCATCCTCAACATCTCTTTAGTACAATTCTATAATATGTTTTATTACCTGTTATGGGTAAAAAGCATGTTAATAGGTAGATATTTCACCTATTGTTTATGAAGATGACAACAATTAGTGGATTACAACTATCATCAAATAATTACAGAAACTGCTGTTCCACATGAATTCCAAGCTACTGCTTTTAATTATACAGGATAGACTTAAAGACTCTGATGAGCCTTTTACCGTTTGATATGTGGCTTTATGTAAAACAAATTTGGATATTTTTGTTTCAATGTAGTAAAATAATTATAATAGTTGGGAAAATTTACAAAACCATTTTTTCAAAGCTGAACCCACATTCTAATTGGTGTGGTATGATCAGTTCCAGTTACACTATTACTAGGAAGTTGTAAACATATTTGGTGTAGAAATATAGATTATGACAATATTACAAATATTATCAAACAAATAAGGGCTTCTAGATACTTGAAATATAGGCATCAAAGTTAAGGGTTATTTCAATTTTATATTTTTTTCATGTGGGTGCAACTCAAACTAGGATGATGCAATGGCATTGTAACATTTTTATACTGTTTGCTATTTATTGTGTGTTGACATGGAATTTACTTAGAAAATGCTTTAGTTAGAAAAGTTATTTCAACACTATCAGTGGTAGCCAACCTTTTTAGGAAATCCCCTGACAAAGGTGTTGAATATAACACTATTAGATTATGTGTTTCACCTATTGTTTATGAAGGTGACAACAATTATCGGATTTTGGATTAGGTTACAACTCTCATCAAATAATTACAGAAACTAGTGTTCCACTTGAATTCCAAGCTAATTCTTTTAACTATACAGGATAGCCTTAAAGACTCTGGTGAATTTTTTGTGGTTTGATATGTTGCTTTATGTAAAACAAATTTGGACATTTTTGTTTTAATGTAGTAAATAATAATTATAATAGTTGGGAAAATCTACAAAGCTGAATTCACATTTTGATTGGTGTGATATGATCAGTTCTAGATACACTATTACTAGGAAGTTGTAAACATATGTGATACAATATAAATACTATCAATAACATTAAAAAGCTTCTAGATAATGGAAATAGACCAACATCAAAGCTAAGGGTTGTTTCAATTTTATAATGCTTTAAGTTGGTGGAATTCAAACTAGGATGATTCAATGGCATTGTAAAATTTTTTATATTATTTGCTATTTACTGTGATGAGATGGATTTATTCAGAAAATGCTTTAGTGATCAAACTTTAATTGAAAAGTTATTTCAACAGTATCAGTGGTAGCCAACCCTTTTGGGAAGGCCACTTGAAGATAACTCTGTTAGAGCTCTGATGATGTGCCTTATCAGGCACCTCTGATAAATATAGGGAAAAAAAAGGAAAGCGATGCATGAAACATGCAAGAACAGTGAGTCATACTATGTGTAGCTGAACCTTAATACTGAGGGATTTTGGAATACCATCCAAAATAGCTAAATTGAAAAAGGTAAATTTCTGCAGAAGTTCGAATTTATTGAATATTTTCAGGAAGGTACACAAAATAATAATGAGCTAGAATATATTTATTGAAGGGCCTCAATAAAGCAATGTCAATGACCCATTCACCTTAAACCTATACATAAACCACAGCCTATATATGTCTGTATCTGTAGATATAGAGGCAAGATAATTCAAAGTCGGCGATTGAGAAATAGGTGTGATACATTTATGTGCAGCAAATGTCATTCTTAAATTACTTCTCAAGTATTTTGTTGTTCATTGTATTTGCTTTCAGTGCAAGAAAATTAGGTATATATAGCTATAAGATGAATCAGTCCAATAACTCACCTTAAATCTATTTCATCACAGAAGAAGCAGTCCTAATTAGACTCGAGACAACCACGAAACTATTTTAGGGTATATTGGTAGGTATTTCAACATTGATATTAAATGATGACACATAAAATCAACAAGAGTTAGATCAAGGAATAACCCTAAAATAGTGCGTGGCTAAAATACCCGAGTAAACTTTAGCCACTTATCCACATTCCACTTGGCACCATGATTTAACTTTTTTGTTTTCTAATCGAATTTATCATAAATCAACTTATTGCAACGCAAACATTCACCGAAGGACTTGGTTGTCAACTGTTGCTTTTATTAAAAATATTTTCTTGGCACAGCGATCCTACCGGTGACATTTAGAAGTTTTGAATGCAAATAAAAACAAGAAAGTGAATACCTTTAATCTAGGGTAAAACGAGCGGTGACTAAGCCGTCATTTAAAATATTCACCCACATACCTTCCGAAATTATAACACTTGTTTTTGCTGAATCTGTCAGAATCACAGTCTTACAAAGTTTTGTCCAACTACCTTGATTTGCTGTTAATCAATAAAATTTATCGCCGGAGCTACATCACAAAACTTAAAGCCCACAAGCTGGCAACGCCGTATGTCACTTAGGTTTTGATGTGGTAGATTTCTGTAGATGTGTAGGAGGAAAAACGTCAATATTTTTATTCATTCTTAACATTTCCATTTTCCAGTGGGTTTTCCAATTATTAAAAAAGAGCACAGCTTCTTTCTCTCGATGTTAATGGCATATGGACATTGAGTATGGTCTTTTACAAATTCTAATAATCTTTTAATTCAACAATACTACATACCATTTATACAGATTATTTGATATAATGGATTCCTCACAGCACCAACAGCACAATATGCATACGTCTGACAACAGTCAGGTAAGAAACCTATAAAACATAGTTGATAGGTAAATCCATCCATACATTGAAATATTTCCAATTTTTAAGGGTTTCCATGAACATGCAGTTGAAAGTCAAAACAGAGCAGATACATGTCCACAAATCAGCATACTAGGTGCACAGCAAGTACAAGTGAACCCTGCATTTGCAACTAGTTCTTATACAGAAGATATTCCGCCACCAAAACCAGATTATTATGCTCCACCACCATATGAAGTTGCTACAAAGGGTACAAAGTTGCCAACTTATGAAGAGGTGCAAAGGGAAAAACATTTGGAAGGCCAGGACATCTCTATTCCTATAAATTCACCATCACAAAGGGTATTGATTCACATGATATCTCATAAGAAAATAACTATTGCATGCAAAAATTTGTATATGGATAATATGATTAATACATTTCTTATGGTTCATACACTTGGAACTAAATTCAACACTCAGTTCAAGGAACCACTTAGGCATTCAAGCACAAACTATATTCATCATACTTACTGTAAGTCAGAAATATATTAACTATGAGATTGAATGTAGTTTAAAAATCATTATAATCTTCAATTAACATGTTCATTTGTTTTGTTCTTTTAACTTTTTGGCATATAAGGACAAATTAACAGACCTTAGGCCCGTATTGTCAGTAGTCCCTACATTTGTAGGGCGCCTTTATGGCCTCCTTGATTGTCATAGTTTTCTACTTCTCCGTGTCACTGATCTATTTTGGGGTTATGTCACAAACATCTATTTGCATCAAATTGTGCTTGCTTTTGAGTTATATCATGTTTTATCAGCCTGAAATTTCCTACAATTTAAAAAGAAATCATACCTTCACAATAGGAGAGCGCTGACATGGGACAAGTGTAATCTAGAAATTTTTGAAGGAGAGAAAGGAGTATGACAATCAAGGAGGCCATAAACGCGCCCTACAATTGTAGGGACGACTGACGATATGGGCCTTAGTTCAAGACAGATACACCCATGACATTGAATATTTGCTGCTGGATGTTGTATTCTAGCTTCTTCTTTTATGTGATCTTCTTTTCTTCAAGCTAGCATAGACCAGAATAGTACTTCTCCTTTAATTAATATTACCAAACTTTTTTCAGCCAATTCCAACATTTATTCAACCAGGTCCTGGCCCAGGTCCAAGAGTGTTAACAATTGACAGTGAAAACTCTGAAGATGTTGATACATCCCTGTTAGGAACAGACTTCATGTTTTATATAGCATTTTTTGGTAAGTGAATTACACATATAACTTATTTCATTCCAGAATTATACTTTGAAAAAATGTTTACCACTTTAGGTTCACACTGTAGTTATTCATAAAATCATGTCAGTCTGTTGATATAAAATTTTCAAGTAAAGATGCTGAATGAGATGTCATAATGAGGCATCTGCCTATGTTTATTAACATAAACTAATATTTTTTAGTTGCATTCATATTCAACTGGATAGGATTCTTATTGTTGATGTGTTTCTGTCATACCATTGCTTCACGGTATGGAGCTCTATCTGGGTTTGGTCTGTCTCTTGCCAAGTGGACTTTCATTGTCCAACATTCAACAGAGCTGGCATCAAAGGACAATAGTTGGTTATGGTGGTTAATCATGACTTTTGGTAAGTTGGGATATTCAAGTATATTTATTTCATCATGTGGCTACAGCAAGTCATTATTTCAATTCTAAATTTATCAATTAATAATACCTCATTAAAGGGATAATAATATAGCTTTATCATTATACTGCAACTATACATAAACTCTACTATTGGATAGTTTATTTCCTCCAGTTTACTGATGAAATCTAACACAAAGAGACCTGTCTCACCAAAAGCAACTTGCAACCCCAACTCAAAGGTAATCTGACCCAGTACACGTTTTTCAAATACAAGCAATCACACCAAATAGATGGCAATACGACCAGTTTAGCAGTTGCTGATATTGTTGCTAGTTATTAGGCTGTTGCTCTCTAGTTGATGATAGATGTCACCGGTGGATATCATTGTGACTCTTCAGATAATGTTCCGGTCATATCCAGGTCGTATCTCGAAAAATGTTTATAATTTGATAATAATTTTCTTTCACGTTTTTGTATAAGAAGTGTACATTCAAATTAATATTGGAGATCGTCAGTTTCAATTTTCAAGTAATATGTTTGCATACAATGTGTTTCTCAGGTCATTTGTAGCACATATATTTGTTATGTACTTTTTTTAATACTCCAGCTACCATGACAGCCTAAGGCCTAAACCCCCATGGGTACTGGGGTGCTATAGGGGGATACAGGGGAAAGGGGGGGACGCCACACGGACTCTAGCGAGGGAATACGTGTGCATGCAGCATTCACACATTTTGGCCCCGCCTACGAGATTCGCCGGGTGGTACCTCCGCGTACGACAGTCAGGGACCGTCTACCACCTATGGACAATCACAACATCCATAGCCAAGAGAAAAATTTCTCTTGGGACGGGATTCGAACCCGCGCAGCGCACGGCGACTGATTGGGAGACCGAAGCGTCTATCATTGCGGCCACCGCTGCTGCCTACTAGTACTGAAATCACTTTTAGAAAAAAAAATTGATCTAGCAAGAATTTAATTGCAAAATCGTTACTTCTATGATTTCTCAGTCAGTTTTTACGAAAGATAATAATATTAATAATAATAATAAACGTCTTTATTTCCAAATAGACTGAGTATATAAAAAATAGCCAAATACGGGCGAAGTTCAGCTGTAGCTGCTCTTCCGCTTAACCCGCAATTAACCCGATCAATTTATTCTTCTATTACTTATAGTGCTTATTAGCAACTTTAAACTGCATTTCGAAAAAGCCGGGGAGAGGCGCTCCTTAATTTTTGAAGGGATTACTTTAGAAAGCTGAAATTCAGACTAATGAAATCGATGCATGAATACGATGTTTTTGCGTAGAAATGGCAGATGAAAATTCCAAGATGGAGGCTGGGTGCCTGGGGAACTTTTTTTAAATGAGATGGGGGTCGTGTGATACCTCATTTTGAAGCTCCTACATAAAACAGGAGCAGTGGGCGATGCACGTTAAACGATGGCAATACTGTTGACGTTTGTCAGATGGTTGCGCCGCCTGAACTATCGAAAGAATACGGTGAATGCTGAAAATGATATTTTCGATACTGAAGGATTATTTCATGACCATATGTTATTATTATTACTGTACTGATGTTTTCATAGTAATGTATCATATTGTATATACCTGACAACGGTTGCGGAATGTCAAAGTCAGTTAAGAACTAGACGTGGTATTGAGCGGTTGTATATGGAGAATATATTCGAATAGTGCGATACTCTTGTTTTTCTTACAAAGCAGCGGTGGGATACCTTAAAATCAGTTGAATTTTCCTACATCATGGGGAAAACTAAATTCAAATCGCGGAATAGAAGTGGGAAGCGGAGCCGAAAGGAATCCTCGAGTGAAAGTGACAGTTCGAGTTCGGCCTCTTCCCCTAGATCGTCTTCAAGAAAAACTATAAGGAGATTGAGAAAAGAATTAAACGAATTGAGACGGTACCCGGCAATCATTCGTACGGGAGATGAACTCTTAGTGCCGACGTTTGATCCTAATCGGGACGACGTGATGGTGGATAAGTGGCTGGATAAAGTTGACCGTTTGGCAGAGCGCTATCACTGGGATGACGATGCCATTCTACGACTGATTTCTGGAAGACTGCGAGGCAATGCCCGTCAGTGGTACGAAGAAAATGTGGACTACGACTCCAGTTGGGATGAAATTAAAAGATCAATGAGCCAGCACTTTCGTAAGTCCGTCCCATTTTCTAAATTATTCAAAGATGCCGCTAACTACGACGCAGCACCAGGGCAAAATTTAGGCGATTATTGTTTCAAAAAACTGTCCAAATTGAGAGCACTCAATATACAAATACCTGATCCATATTTGATTGATGCAGTGATTGGTGGTATCAGGGATGAAAACATAGCAAGAACGGTCAGGGCTGCACAACATACGGACGCAAACGCTCTATATGCTTACTTAAACACTGTAGGCGAAATGCCTCAAGAAAAAAAAGTCCTCATCTTAATAGTGGAAATTTTCAGCCGTCAACGTCGTTCAGATCTGGTTATGGCAATCGTAATAAAAAGGAAGTCAATAAGCCTTCAGGCTCGCGCCCAACATGTTTTAATTGCGGTATTCCGGGCCATATTTCATCCAGTTGCAGAAAGCCACGCGTGGAATGTACCAACTGTAAAAGATTGGGACATCTTAAAGAAAAGTGCCCTTTTCCGCGTAAGGAAGTGCATCAAGTTGAAGCACTAACGAGTGTGGGTTCTAATATTTTTTTGCAAAATGCCCGAATTTGCGGAAAGAAAACAAACTGTTTAATAGACTCTGGCAGTTCTAACACACTCATAAAAGAATCACTCGTTAGAAAACTTGGCCTTCTTCGTACGGATTCGAAGGATATGACTTTGTACAGTTTTATGGGTACCTTTGTGAACAGTACATCGTTTTGCAAGATCACCGCTAGTATACAGGGAGTTTCAGCAGAAGTGCGTGCCATAATTGTTCCGGACAAATACCTGAAATTTGATTTATTAATCGGGAGAGATTTTATTAACCAAGAACACGTGGTTATGACTAAACGTGAGAACCGATTAATTTTATATAGGTTGCCTCCCACCGAAAACCTTTTTGTGAACTTGATAGAAGTTTTCGACAATGGCTTGGATCTCAATAATATACAGATAGGTGCTATTTCGGAAGCCGATAAGAAGGCCTGCATTTCTTTGTTGCATCATTTTTCGGACTGCATCTCATCTTCTATGAAACATTTAGGAAACACGGATACAGTAGAAATGGAAATAAAATGTTTGGTCGACACGCCAGTTGCGCGTCATCCCTATCGAATGCCCGACATAGAAAAGCAAATTCTTCGAAATATGATTCAGGAACTATTAGATAACGGAATAATTCGTGAATCTAGCTCCCCGTATGCCAGCCCAATTACACTAGTGAAGAAAAAGGATGGGGACTATAGAATGTGCGTCGACTACAGGCAGCTCAACGCGGTCACCATAAGAAATCATAGTGTATTACCGCATATTGAGGATCAAATAGATAAATTAGGAGGATTTAAATATTTCACAAGCTTAGATTTGGCGTCCGGGTTTTATCAAGTCCGTATGGCTGCCAACTCTATTGAAAAAACGGCATTCGTAACCCCTGACGGCCACTACGAGTTTCTACGGATGCCTTTCGGACTTACCAATGCTCCTTCTGTTTTCCAATCATTAATCAACAAAGTACTAGGACCATTAAAAAATGAATACGCCTTTCCATATATCGATGATATCATAATTGCCTCGTCTACGATCGCAGAGGGACTAGAACGGTTGGCAAAAGTATTAATTCAACTTCGTGCACATAACCTCACTTTGAAAATCAGTAAATGTGTATTTCTGGAAACGACAATTGAATACCTTGGAAGAGAAATTAGCGCAGAAGGGGTGAAACCTGGAAAAAGGAAGATCCGGGCAATTTTAGATATGCCATTTCCTCGCAACGTTAAGCAAGTACGTCAATTCCTCGGATTAGCCAGTTATTTCCGGAAATTTATTAAACATTTCTCCATGATTGTCGAGCCTTTAACAAGATTAACCCGTAAAAATGAAATTTGGACCTGGAACGCACCACAAAGGCAGGCATTCCATCAAATTCAAGAGGCATTAACATCACGTCCAATTCTTGCAATATATAACCCCAAATTGAGGATAGAACTTCATACAGATGCGAGCTCTATTGGTTTAGGAGCAATGTTACTTCAATTTGACTCTGAAGGTAAATCACGTGTCGTTTCCTATTTTAGCAAACAAACAACATGTGATCAACGACAATATCACTCATACGAACTCGAGACTATGGCTGTAGTTTACTCTAAAATATTTTCGAGTGTATTTGCTGGGGATAAATTTCAAGATAGTCACCGATTGTAATGCTTTACGGACGACCCTGTCAAAAAAAGATTTAATTCCTCGTATTGGAAGATGGTGGTTGGAGATTCAGGAATACTCTTTCGAAATTGAGTATAGAGCTGGTAAAAAAATGACTCATGTAGACGCCCTCAGTAGAAACCCTATAGCAATCACCAACCTTGAGTTAGAAGTGTTCCAAATAGATTTGACGGAAGCGGATTGGATTACTGCAGCACAATTGCAGGATGAACAGATTTGTAGAATTCGGAACATACTATCGAGTAAAGTAAGGAATAATGAGACGAAGTTATATTTCGATAAATACGAATTGAAAAACGACAAATTGTACAGGAAATTAGACGATGGAACTAAAGCATGGGTTGTTCCATTAGCAGCACGTATGCAAATTTGTCGTTTATGTCACGACGATTCTGGACACCTTGGAGTAGAAAAGGTTTTACAGCGAATAAGAAGAAACTACTGGTTCGCGAAAATGAGAAAATTCGTAACAAAATATGTTAACGCTTGCCTAAACTGTATGTACTATAAGAAGTGCTCCTCAAAACGGCAGTGCAAATTAAATCCTATAGAAAAACATCCAATCCCCTTTCATACGATACACGTAGATCATGTTGGACCATTTGTGACAAGCAAAAGAAAAAACAAGTATATTTTTGTAATTGTTGACGCATTTACCAAATTCACAATAATAGAGCCGGTACATGATCAGAAAAGTAAGCACGTGATCAAGGCTTTAACTGACGTAATCCATTTATTTGGGGTACCTTCAAGAATTATAAGTGATAGAGGTACGGCCTTCACATCTCGAACCTTTAAAATGTTTTGTGACACATATGGAATAAGGCATGTCCTAAATACAGTCGCCACGCCAAGGGCTAACAGTCAATGTGAACGTTACAACAAAACAATCGTAAGTGCTCTATCAACAACTGCTGCAGGAAAAGATGAGCGAGATTGGGATAGATACGTAAAACAAATACAAAGTGCATTGAATACGAGTTTTAACAAAGGCATCAATTCGACTCCTATGGTGGCCCTGATTGGTTACAATTCTAAACATGCAGCTGAGGCGACAGTTTTGAGTGCAATTCAAAATGAGATAGATAGACTTGACCTAGAGGAGGTTAGGCATAAGATTTCAGGACATATTGAGGATGATCAAAAAAAAACAAAAAGAACGTTACGATAAAAGTCGACGCAATGCCACCCAGTATAACGAGGGTGACTTGGTCAGGGTATTGATAACGAGTATACCATCTACGGGAACTAGCCATAAGCTACATGCAAAATATAAGGGACCTTTTCGAGTTACGAAAAAATTATTCAACGATCGATACGAAGTTGAAGACTTACGAGAAGGCTTCAAACGGAAGCGAACTGTTGTAGCTGCAGACCAGGTCAAGGCATGGGTGACCCTAATAAACGATAATTAGAGGCAAAAGTTGCCCACATGCGAACATCGTATTTTCAAGAAGTTATTTTTGGCAAACGTTGCCTTCAAGCGAACGTCGCTACCACGTTATTTTTGGCAAACGTTGCCTTTAAGCGAACGTCGCTTCCACGTTATTTTTGGCAAACGTTGCCTTCAAGCGAACGTCGCTTCCACGTTATTTTCGGCAAACGTTGCCTTCAAGCGAACGTCGCTTCCACGTTATTTTCGGCAAACGTTGCCTATTAGCGAACGTCGCTTACTTACGAACAGCCTGGCAAACGTTGCTTGTAGATGAACGTCATCATGTGGAAAACATTTGCGCAAATCTTTCCTTACCTGCACTACATTTGATTGGACTGCAATTTTATTTTACCTTTCTCTTTATTGTTATTTTGAGATATGCATTAAGTAAGATCTTGTGAAGTAATTTTTTTTTATATTTCCTACGTTATTATAAGTCTAGGTTTTGAAGCTTTGAGAATTGAAGCTTTTCTAACGTTTAATTAGTCTGAGGACAGCCTAATGGTCAGGATAGCCGAGTGTTATTATTATTACTGTACTGATGTTTTCATAGTAATGTATCATATTGTATATACCTGACAACGGTTGCGGAATGTCAAAGTCAGTTAAGAACTAGACGTGGTATCGAGCGCTTGTATATGGAGAATATATTCGAATAGTGCGATACTCTTGTTTTTCTTACACATATATTCATAAAATATCTTCAATAAGGATAATATCTCTTTCAGCAGATTTGCCGAGAACAAGGTTCAGAATAATAAAATCCAGCACTATGAATCACAAAATATTTTAGTTTCAAAAAATAATCATATGCTGTTGACAATGGTATAAAAATAGTATATTGTATTACGTGAAAATATATATCGATTTATTCCAAATTCATGTTGTGTATTGCAAAACTCAGGTGTCACTTCATTGAATTGCTTCTTGATAATTCTGAAACAATACAGAAAACACTAATATAAGTCATAATTCTTTGTAAATAAGCTAGTCACTTTTAATTAGTTTTCTCAGTTCTCTGCTTCATGACTGTACTCTACCGATATTACCATGTCTTATTTAATACATATAATATGTATTATATGACTGCAACGGACTACAACATATATATATTTTCATATTTTTCTTGCAGTGGTGCCGAACGTGCCGATTTTTCAGCATTTCTGGGCATAGGCTGATCTGTGCTGTACACAGTGTATTTAATTAACAAGGTATCCCCCATATGTTAATCTGCCGCGCTTGAGTAAATCCTAAAATCCCCTCTTGGGTTTCCCTACTATTAGCTTTCAAACTACCTATGTATATAAAAATAAATATTTACAAGTTCATACCGTCGGATATATCGCAATCAGCGATGATACTCCTCCAAGCTGCTTCTTTAATCTCATTTTTTTTATACTCGTTCGAGTCTACATTCCATAAACATGGAGGTTTTCTTACCCTTTCAATAAAATACTCCAGTTTGTCTATTGCGAATTCCGATGTGCAAGAACAAATTATAAAATAGCAACATCGCTCCAAGCCGGCTGCCAGCAAGAGCGGTTCGTGGATATTTTCTGGTGACGCGACGCAAGAGGGGAATAGATATAGCGCAGAATATCGCTGGGATGTAAATATACTCGTATCTTATAGCGTCCGTGCGTGGCGTCTCGATAGGTTTACACATGGAGCGATATTTCTGTAATATGCAGGATATAATATATATTATATTATCGCTCACCGTCCGTTGCCAGCTTCAGATAGAGAATCCCGGCAAGCAGCTCGTCACGTGATGCCGGTAATGCAGTTCCTCGATTTTGCCTGAATAGGATGACCTTGGTGTTGCCAGTACGTCCATGAGACATTTCACTCCCCTGACTCCTTATAATCATAGAACATAAAGTTACTATCTGGCGATTTGACAGGCTTGTCAAAGCTGAGAGTTTTTGTACATTGAGTCGTTTGTAACTCAATAATGAATCAAAACACTACAGTATCTTTTGTATATGTAATAAAATATGGAACATACCTTTGAAAATTTTTCTATATTGTGAAATTTATTCCATATTGTGTCAATTTTTCTATACTGAATCTTAGTCTAAAAGAAGTTGATATGACGTATTATAAATTTTGATGGTTGGTTGTTGACTTATAAGAAATTCAATGTACAATACTGCTCCACTTGATTACTGCCAGCTCGCCATTTTGAAAGATGGTGCTTTTATATTCTAAGATTATAAGGTACCCATAAAAGGAACTTCAAAATAAGGGATCGCACAACCCCCCATTTGATTTATTAAAACGTTACAAGATGGCACTTAGTCGCCATCTTGAAATTTTCAACTGTTAGAATCCATGGGTCAATTTCACCACCCAAAATTTCAGCTGGCCAACTTGTTCCAGTCCAAAAATATGTAAGGGGACACCTTTCTGAATTGCACTATATTTAGTCTTTCACACAAGTATTCATTACGGTAGAATGACAGCTGATTATCTAGTAATATTCCAAAATTCCCCATAATACAATGGACACATAATTCTGACGGATCCGTCAATGCCAGGTAAGACAGAGCCGTATTTTATTTTGTTTTTTGTACGCTAGATTTACTGTTGCTAACAACTCTTTTATTTAGAAAAGTACATACTAAAAAAGAAAACGCTACGAACAAGTTTTCTTGATTCACACCCGATTCAATTTGCTAACGTTACAGACGTGTACAAAAATGTCACTTGCTGATCAGCTGTTCACCTCAGTAGACGTCAAAACGTGATGTCTACTCGTGAAATAAGGTTTAGTCAGTCGCTTTGTCCACAACCTCAAAATGGTATTGCAAGTTACTTTTGATGGGAACAGCGTCCTCGACTTAATTTCATGAAGCAAGTTCACTGACGATGGAGGGAATATAAAGCAAAGTTCCTGTCAGATTTTTTTTAAAATTATTACCCTTGCAGGTCTCATTATATGCATCAGGTCAATCCTTCAGTATTTGAGCATAAAGAGAGGTTGGCATATGCTCTCAGCTAGTCATCAGGAGAGACTTCTTTTCTTTTATTAAGCTTTACAAGTAAAAATTATATATTTATAGTATCTACATGTAAGTAATTTTAAACTGCTTTTTAGTATCGTGTCATTCCAATATTGTAATTTCTCAGCTGTCGAGAATCTCTACTAGAAGGTGAATCACTTGTTGAAACAAATTTCATTAAAATGTTAGAGCACAATGTACACTATTGAAATGGGCAAACATCTAATTTTCTAATATATTGCATGTACTGGAGAATAATTCCGGCATTTGTTCATTCCATAATATACCTACCAGCCTACATGTTATAATCAAAAGTATGTAGGTATATCATGTATGAAACGTTTGCTGTAGCTTTAGCAAATATTTCCTTAACAAAATTTACTCCAGGTTTTGATTCAAAATTCCAAAACAAAATGACAGTGTTGTAGGACGACCGCACACAGTTCGAAATATTTTGTTTCAAGGCGATTTGTTTTGTTTGTTCTGCTGTGGCTTCCCCGAAAGAGGTCCAAACGTTTTTGGGTCAGAAAAACTTTTCTATACACCATCTTCCAGTTGTAATTGAACAGCATTTTTGTGATTTATCGAGTAATGGATGAGTGATCATTATCTAAAGAAGTTCATCCAGCTATTAAAAGTAGAGGTACCACCGAAAATTGAGTATTACACTAGAGGAGGTTTTATCGCTGAACTTATCCCACACAACTTTAATCCGAAGGACACGATCCGACAGGTCGTGTTATAGATTCGTAATTCAGATGATTGACGTCGAAAAGTTGCCAATGTTTTGGCTTTGCATGCGATACAATGAAAAGTTTTGCAGTGTTGAGAAACAAAATGTTTCGATCTGTGTGAGGCCGTTTATCTACTAATATGCGTAGGTCGTGTTTCTCATTGGATACTCTTTTATGTTATAGTAATTTATATTTATGGATGGTGCAATTGAAGATAGAAATAAACATTTGCTCTATATGTATACAATAAATGACTACATGATGTTCATCTGAATCTTGGAACATTCATACAGATATCTTGCTTTGTTATAAAAATCTTAGTGGCTGTTTTAAAGATATAGGTGTGTGAAATAAAACATGATTTGTGATTTTTTAAGAGAACTTGTTATATATTCTGAATACCCCCTTTTAATATGTCAGTTCTGTACCTGCTGTTATAGTAATAATATAGTGATTACAGAAATGGCAATAAATTCTGTGTTTATTTTTTTGTTTGCAATGATTATGATACCCTCATTGCCTCATCACTGACAATGTCAAAAATAACGAATGACCAATTATAAAAAAAAAATATTTTGAAGGTAAATTGCACGTGGGCTCAGATTGTTTTCTCGTGGGATATACCGATGATGATAATAATAATAATCCTTATTATCCATCTTGACATAAAAGTATTTACATGTATTGGATTAGTCAAAATTAAATAAATATACCTATAAGCTAATAAAGTAATTGATGGCATAATATCATTTGTCAAGTAAATAATCTTTCAAGCGTTTTTTAAAGCTGATAATGGACTTAATATCTTCGGGAAGCCTATCAAAAATTCTAGAACTTAACACATTTGGTGACTTTTTAGAATTATACCTCGCGAACGGTATATGCAGACGGGTGCATTGTCTAGTGTTGACTCCATGAATTTGGTTATTTGAAAGGTTTGAGAAGGTGCATATGGCCGTCTCGAAAATAAATAATGAGGGTAGGGTCAGTATAAGATATTTCTTAAGTAGGTCTCTGCAGCTATGCCTAGAGTCTACACCAGCCAGACACCTTAAAACCTGCTTCTGACATACTGAGCAGATGATAAGCAACCCCAGAAGCACAGACCGTATCTCAATCTAGACTCAGCGTGAGCTTAACACTTGTACAGTGTTATTAATTGATGCCCACTTAGAATAGTTCTCAAATTTTTTATGATAAAATGACTGTGCATTTAGTCTTGAAACTAAAAAGTCCGTGTATTCTGAAACCAAGGTTGTCGTCAAAGTGAATCCCTAAGAACTTGGTACTCTAATCTATTCTATTCTTGTATCTTTAATTTTAATATTTAAGAGATTGAGCTTTTTTTGAACAATGTGGAACCTTAATGCTGAAGTTTTATCCCAATTGAGATACATGTGGTGCCTCGAGTACCACTCATCTACTCATCTAAAACAATCTACAAACTATTACACTTACATCACAGACATCATACAGTAATACAGACGTGTCATCTGCATACAAAGTGAACTTTGCTTCATCAGAAAATTTGTCTATATCATCACTATAGATTCTAAATAAAATTGGTCCTAAGATGGATCCTTGTAGCACACCCACATTGACAGTTATTGATAAGGATTTCACTTGCACAATTGTATTATTTTTGTGGCATAGATTCATATTGCTTTCGACACCCTGAGGAACGACTCTAACCAACTATAACTTGATTCAGATACTCCGATCTGGCTGAGTTTATTGAGCAAAATGTTGTGATTGACAAAATCAAACGCAAGATCGCAAAATATCTCAACAGGGGCACTCGCCTGCCTCATCGGCTCAAATTATTGCCTGAAAAAAAGAGTGAATTCCAGTTATTGTTGGTTTTCCACCCGCTAAAGTCATGTTTCTTGGAAAGAATACATTTTCTGCCCAAGAATGTTCAGAAAGAAATACTCGAAGATTTTCAAGAAGCAAGGAGGTACAGTAATTGGTCTATAGTTAGCAATGGTTGAAGGACCGCCCTTTCTATATATTGGGGTGACTACCAGTTTCCAATATTTCTATTGATCTACTCTATCTTCACCCTATGTCTACAAGGAGCACGAGCCCCGGCTTGATGGGTGCTCCCCAAGCTGAGAAATCAAATGGAGTTTCCAAGAAAATTAATCTGCGTACACCCCCGATCTCTTTAATTTCCCTCAAAGCCAAAGTAATGCCTCGGATTTCGCTCCTAGCTGGGGACACTTCAGTAGCAGGCTCACTCCTGCCTGCCCAGGTGCCCTACATGATTTTCGTCCGCCGGCGCGCATGACGTCACGCGAAGAGTGATTTGATTCTCATTTGGGGTGATATGGATAACGTGCATAGTTTCACCTACAGGCCAAACGGCTGGACGGACACATACTCGTATGAGTTGTCGTTGGATTCGTCTTAGTGGTGCAAGTGACACTGGCTACATTAAAATTTTATACAAAATAAAATGGTAGATTTTAATAAAAGATTTCAACCTTGTGATTCTTATTTCATAGGCTGCAGCTCAAACAGCTTGATAGATTTCGACATATGAGATATCGCTGGATTCGTCTCAGCGGTGCGAGTGACACAAACTACATGAAAAATTTTATAGAAAATAAAATGACGGATTTAAATAGAAGATTTCAACCATGTAATTCTTATTTCACAAGATATAGCTTAAACTGCTGTCTAGATCCACAATAGAGCATATCTTCACTTTACTGTAAAAACAAGATAACTCCGTTTTTCTACATTAACTATATTTAAGTATGTTGTGGAGCAGGATTAACGTGCTCATGACGTTAATACTGCACCACATTTAACCTTATTTCACAGAACATCCTAAGTACATGTAAGTGTGAAAATGTACGCAACTCGAAAAGTAGAAAAATGGAGTTATCTTCTTTTTGCAGTAAGCTGGCGGTATAACAATATATGGAAATGACTTAGTCTAAGCAACAATTTTTCTCCATTTCCATTTACGATTTTTCAAACTGTTATTCAGTTCTTTGATCCGGAAGAACATCTTTGACCTGAAAAATAGTTTTTTAGCTCTTTCAGGGCAGTCAATGTTGCTACTCTTCAACAGAAGTTTGCCTAAAAAATTTTGCTTTTCTGTCACTATTCTGTCCCCATTAAATGTAGTAAACACCTTGTCCAGCTTCCTAATTTGATTCATGAAAGCTGTGGATGGTTTTGATAATCCACTCTCACTAAGATGGTCTATCCAGGAATAAGTTTCATTTGAGGAACTTTTCAAGCTCTCATCCTGCAATTTTTGGCAAACAAAGCTGGCCAAATAGTCCAGCCCATCATACTTGAGCTTATCTATTTCTTCCACTAAAACCTCCTCGTTATAGTCAGCTGATACTTCAGGTGCATTCAGTTTATTTGTTAATGATGCGGTTAGTGAAATGTCTGGAGTATCATCTAAGTTCACGATGCAATACTCTGAATAAGCGCCTTTGTTTCGCCCCAAAATATATGACCTTATTCTATACTTAAACTCTAGTGGACTTGGATGGCCATGAAGACCACCTTTTGCCCTAATTACTCCAAAAAAGTTTTCTATCACATCTTGATTAAGGCGTCTTGTTAACAGGTATTGGATGCTGAAGCGTCGTTTCAGATCCTCTAGGAGCATTTTTAGAGCCGAATTAGAAAGTAGGATACCTGAAATAGTTCACAGCTGTTATTAGAATGATTTCCTTTTGTAAACTGTGTCACTTACCCTTTTGGAATGGCAAACTGATTCGACTGCCAATCACCTTCAGTTCAGTGATTGCTTCAGTCATTTTATTCAAGATTGTATTTTGTTCCTCAAGAGCTAAGCCATAGCCTTTATTAAGTGTGTGGAAATCAGTTTCTGGAATGCTAATATTGAATACATCAAACCAATCATTTACCTAGAAACACAAATTAGATAAATTGGTTAACGTAAATAAAATGACATACCAATTTGAAAAATTCTGCACATTCCACCCAATTTTCTGCTGTTAAAATGCCCAGTGTTCCACATCTGGATATTGCACTTGACATGGTATGTGAGAACAATTTAGCAGCATATTTTACTCTTTGCCTTTGAGGACCAGTAACATTCAACTGGTCAATTGTTATTTTTAAATCTGAACCTGATGTTGCATTTATGGTCTGCTCCACAATTTCCTTTTTAATTGGCTTATTGTTAATTAAAAAGCCATGGGCCACAAAATTATTTCTGATCAGTTTTAGAAGCTGAGGTATGTCAGCCATCACAAAAATTTTTTCATTATTGCTAGGATTTGTGAAGTACGGTTTGGTATTTGAGACATTCAATTCATTGTGAAGCCCCCTATTTGCACCCAAATCTGACACCATGGCAACAACATGGAATCCTAAAACATAGAAAAATGGAATGAGGGAAAGTGTATTAGATTTACTGTAACAGTATTCTTACCAGATTCCTCCACAAACTTAATAATGCCCATTAGAATGTCCGATGTCATTTTACAGTCAAAATTATAAAAAACTGGCTGCATCCATGATTTAAAGATTCCCCTAATTAAAACAACTTGAACATAATCATAAGGTTTCATTATACAGTCTTTTGTTTGGTCATACAGGTACTCTGTTCTAACTTTCATTTCATCAAATACAATAGTACATACACGATCATTTTCAGTCATATCAACAAACTCTGTAATTTTTATAGCATTTTTTAAGATCCCTGGGTCTAGCTTTATTTTTCGTAGCCATTGCTTCAGTGTAGAAACTGCTGGATATGGGAAACCCCTCTTTAGACTGAGCCTGTATGCTCTAGGGCCAGCAGCATACATGGATATAGCATTTGAAATTTCACTCACTGACCAAGTTATTCTTTTATGATTCTCCAATTTTTTTATTTGATTTTCACTGAATACTTTTTTGACCCCCATAATCTGGCTTTTTAGGTTCTCATTCTCCCTTGTTACAAGTAACAATTTATGTTTGAGATTATCCAATCCTTCATTTTTTTCATTAGTTTGAATCCTACAAAGTAATGTTGGTTGTTTCAGAAGAACATGGCAATATTTCTTGAAATGAAGACCATTTATTATTATTATTATTTTCTAGGAACCATGTTTATAAGAACTTTTCATGTTATTCTTGGACCTACTTTCTATCCCTATATGATTTAATTATGAATATGCTACGTCAATTATTTTGAGTTAATTTTTCAAATTATAGGAACAAAACCATCACACTACTTCAGATGCAATACTTATTTGACTTCAGCACAGCTTCTACCATCACATCATTATGAGTTTTGACCAACAGTATCATCTATTTTTGCACAACTGTCATGCATAAGATTGAATTAATTAGACTTGGATTCAAATTAATTCATGCATACAAGTAAGTATACAATCAATTAAAAAAATTAAAAGCTTACCTGTCTTTGGTTATGTCTCTAATAAGTTGAGTCCTTTGCCTTTTTTCATAAGCACTTTTCTGCTTTTCCACAGCAACAGATGTAGAACGTCCAGGTGATGATAGAGGCTTGGGTAAATTTTCCGTAGGAATGGCATCATCTTTTAGAGCTCGATAGCTTTTAGGGGTGTAACCCAAAAGGGTATGTTTCAAATTGATCTTATACGCACTTTCACAAAAGTGCTTCGAGCAAACCCTAGCGCTTTTTATATTGACTTTGTCTTTTCTTTTTGTAAGATGCAGCCATTTTTTGCTAAGGTTTGGGTCTTGAGGAAAACTGTGGAACTTAATATTTTTGCAAGGATTCCGTTTAGATTGGTTGTCGGAATTACAACCCACAACAGCACACCGCATTTTTATCAATTTAATCAACCACACAGGGTATATAAAGTATGTATAACTAATACAAGTCACAAAACTACAAAAAATCGCACTATATAATACATATTTACCAAGATACACGTGCACTTACAAAACATATAAACATAAACAGATGCACTCTGAAGTAACGTAACGACAATGCTGCCGCTGGTAATGCGGGTCCCACACGATGCTTCCCGTTGTATACAATGTTGTTTACAACGTTCGATACCCCACAATTGGCAAGTGTGTCTCCTACACGATGGGATGAACTTTTTAGTCTCGAACGTTCGACGCATGGTGGCGCCATCGTCTAAAATGAACGATGAAACAATTTTTTCGAACGCCGAAAAATAATTTCAGATCTGTCTTCAAGGACCAAAACTTAACGATGGGATGAACTTTTTAGTCTCGAACGTTGGACGCATGGTGGCGCCATCGTCTAAAATGAACTATGAAACAATTTTTTCGAACGCCGAAAAATAATTTCAGATCTGTCTTCAAGGACCAAAACTTAAGTCTGTCAGAAGCCTCAGAAATGTCGAAAAACGACGTATTTTGTTTTTCGTCGATAACTCCGCCGCCACTGTACCGATTTTCAAAAACTGTAGAGGTTTCCCGTCATTTTCATAGTAGTAACCTAGGGTCAAAATTTCAGTTATTGTTTATTTAATCTTTTTCGTTAGTTATGAAATGCAAGTCAATATATTTCTCTACTAGTCTTGCATTGCAACAGGACATTATAATGAAACAACTGTAAGCACTTTATAATTTACTAAAATACACATCCTTAGAATAGCCATAACTCACCTGAGAAACGTACAAAATATTAGCAATACGAAAAAAGTGTTGTTATGGCAGCCTATGCTTTGTATGTATACTATTTAATTTAATTAAGTTAGTTACGGAACAAAATATTTCCCAGATACCACTACTTCCCAACAATCACAGCAAACAAACAAATACGCTACTGGTTCTAACCTAAAACCATCAAACACATGACATCTCGTGTGGGAGCGTAACGAACCATGCTTCCAAAATTGTAACGTCTTTTGACGTGGGTTAAGTTTACCGACAAGAGCCTGAACGTGCCATGTGGCGAACGTTGGACACATGCAATCCGTCAGCGCTCTCCCACGATGTGGCGAATGGCCATGTATCCAACGTTGTAAGGCATTCGCCACATCCTGTGGGGGCGGTTTTAAATGCACGTGGCACGTGGATGCTTTGACGTCTGTGTTGTCACCGTCATATCTTACTTATTTTTGTTTATGTTTGGATTAGACAAAATAATGTTATGACCAACTCGGGATTTTTCCATGTTTTATCGGCTACATTCTTTATAAAATGTAACGGATCGTAGAAAATATTATGGAATAAACAATAAAAGACAATGGCCAACATGGCAACAACACTAAACACTACTCCTTTGCTGCAAGAATCTGATTCTGACAATGAAAATGATATGCAAGTTACACAAGATGCCACTTCTAGTGATAACAGGCCACTTTTCAAGCCTTTGGAGCCAAAGGATAAATATTATGCAGCGTTTTTAATTTTTTATTTACTAGGAATAGTAACTTTGTTGCCATGGAACTTCTATGTGACAGCTAATGATGTAGTATAACAATATTATTGGATATATGGCTATTAAAATATTTGTTTTTCAGTATTGGATGTACAAATTTAGGAATGCAAGTGACAACTCAAGTATTACTGCTGCCAAGAGGACACCTTTGCAAACTGAGTTTACCTCGTACTTAAACCTTGCATCATCACTACCCAATCTGATATTTGTAGTATTAAATACAGCTATAAGTCACAGGTATTAGTCATGTAATTGTTACTAAGTGTTACACAATCTATTATGAAATAACTTTGATCATGCCTCTCTTGTTGAGAAATCAACATGGTTTTTAAATCTAGAATCTCTCATATTTGTTAGGCAGAACAGTAGTCTTCAAATTTACTGTTCTCGAATTGGTAAGAGTAACTACAAAAAAAAAAAATATTACACAAAATTATTGCTCATACAATTATGAATTTCAAACATCCTCAACATCAAATTCTCAAACTAGAAATGATTGAAGTCTTTATATTGATTCCATTTCAAACATCCAATCCCATTTTTCTTCAAAAGGGAAAGCCTGACAGAATTATCTCAGGAGATGTGATATCATTAGCAAAACAAAAAAGTTAGCAGAATACCTATTGGGTATTAAAAACCAGGTTTTGGCGAGTGATAAAACTCTGTAGTAGTCACAGTCATTACGCCAAATCTTCCAACATCAGCCATAAAGTAATAGATGTTTCAAAAAAGTCGGTGGTGTAGAAAAAAAATTTGCAGGGCCAACTATTAATACTTAAATGCTATTATCAGTTTAATGCAACAATAGTGACATGGCATCTATAGAAGTGTTAATTTTTTAGGATATCAGTGAAAAAGAGGATAATATGGTCCTTATTATTTCTCCAAGTTTTTATGATAATAACACTGCTGTTTGTTAACATCGATACTGATGAATGTAAGTACTGTAAAATCAAAATTCTTAGTTACGTTTCATTCACCATTTTTTTTTGTAGGGCAACAACTATTTTTTGGTTTAACACTGGTATGTGTGATTTTACTCGCTGGTATGTATTTTTTCATTGTAACTCCTTTAAGTTCAATTTACAATTATATGTGTTATATATCATCTTGTCATTTTCACTGACTAGCATTGCTGAGACAATTCTCAACTTTGAATGGTATTTTTTTCTACAGAAATATTACAGTATAGGTTGAGTACATTGTAAAGGGTATTCCAATAAAGAGGAAAGGAATAAAATAATCTTTATGCAAGGTATTAACGAAAATGTTTGTCATATGACATCAGTTGAACTTAGCACGGACTCGAGAAATTCAATGTTTAATTACTGTTGCACAGATTCGGCTGTATCTGGTTGATGGTCTGGGTTGTCTTGGCTTTGATGGCATCAGTGGATCCTAGCCTGTTGGCAAAATCTATATTTTAAGAAGACCTTACAAAAAAGTCTTAATGTGGTGTTGAATCGATGTTGGTAGCCTTTAATTCAGTGCGCTTATACCGCTGATTCTTCATATATGATGAACACGTTTGATATCTAGTACACAGTTTGTTTTATCCGTGCCAACATCAACAACGACTCGTCCTTATCGGAAAATTTGAAACGGTCTGACTGAATCATGGAAATTTTTTTGCAGTCTGTAGTGCAGTTTTCTCTGGAAGCATTTTTGGCTTAGTAGGAAAATTCTCACCAATATATATCACAGCAGTAACAGGAGGCCAAGCCCTAGGTGGAATTTTTGCAGCTATTGCACAGATTGCTGCATTGAGTATAGGAGCCTCATCAACTCACACAGCTCTGGTTTACTTCATCATAGGGAATTTAACGATAACTCTGTCTATAGTGAGTTATGTCATCCTGGAAAAGATGGTGTTTTTCAAATATTACACGTCAAATCCAGATATCCAAGTGGAAATGAATGATCTCATGTCATCTCAAGAAATATCTTATAAAATTATACTCAGGAAAATGTGGTGCTATGGATTGGTGGTATTTTTAACATTCCTGTTTACATTGGCAGTATATCCCGGGATTACAGTACTGGTTGAGTCTGAAGGCAAAGGTCGAGGTTCCAAGTGGAATGGTAAGCATCCCATGATTACTTTCAATTGTATTGACGTGTAGTTAGTTCTTACTCATGGACTTGAAGTACCACGAAAGGTAGCTATAACAGCTGGCCTCCATAGCGACGTTGGTTGATATATCGTAAACACCAGATCTGACCCAAGCACCGATATGTCTGATGGCCTTTGTTGGTGGATTCTAGTTGTATTTCCCTTTCCATCCTTATTTTCCTTCAGGTTATACCCGTATCCAGATGTAATGGGCATATGTTTTCACTTAAGTGTTTTCGATGCACATCCATTTGGACCTTATTAAGCCAATAAGAAGAAAACTACGTCGCTCGGGTTACCAATCCGTCTGTTTCTGCTCCTGTTTGCTTTATTGCGGATATGAACACGATTGTCCTTTGTTTTTCGAATAAAATGATGAGAACCGCCTTGACATCAGAATTAATAATTCTTACACTCTCAGCCTACTACAATGATAATAATTATTTCCTATTTAAGTATTTTTTTTAGTGTTTTACTGAAAACCTTCTAGATTAAGACGAAGTACGTAAACACTCAACTGTATTTTAGAAATTCTTATTCACTTACCATCAGTTACAACAGTTTAGCACAAACCTTCATATGAAGTTTTCTCGTAATGGGCTCAAAAATTGCCCAATACCCTGTTTATTGCATATTATGTTGATTGATCTAGATTTAGTGTATTTATGTTTCGCCTTCTTATTAGTAAGTATAAAGTCGGTGGTTCTATCCAAAACTTTAAAAAGAGTTGAGTAATAGTTGTTTCAGTGAGAACGCAAAAGCAACGCAAACAAACGTCGAAATCGAGTTGAAGTAGCTTTTGGTGAGAACAGTGCCTAAGAGTTATTGACTTCCCCGCGTGTCTCATTTTGAAATATTCTCCTTGATCTACTTTCTAATCAATTTTTTCGAAAATTTCTTTCAGATGTTTATTTTGTTCCTACTGTTGCGTATCTTCTCTTTAGTGTTGGAGACTATCTAGGTAGGATCATTGCTGGAAGAATTATGAAGGTACGTCAGGTATACATTAAATACACTGAATTGCGAAAACATTCTGACTTGTGAGACGTCTAGTCAAATGCTCTAAAATACATATCCAAGTGTTCATACCGCCGATATCGCTTTCAGATATAATAAAAACAAGTTAGCATTTATCTGGGAAAACAGTTTTTTTCCATTGTAGGCTTTGTGGATGAAATTCAATTAACAGCTAAACGAATTATTCAATGTATGTGCTACACCTAATATTGAGGTAAAATGCACTTGTTCCACTGGTGAACAAAATTAAAATAATTTTTTGTGACATGGACAAAACAAGGTGGTTATCATGTAAAACGTACCCAAAAAGCCGGAAATAGCATTTGATTTTTTCTATCACCCACGGTTTTCTTGCAATAAGGCATTTTATTTGCTGTTTATACTCGTAAAATATAAGGATATGTGTGTAAGAGTACCAATAAACACTCGAATAAACATTAATCTCAGAATGTGGTTGTCGATGCTTTACTTCGATATATTGCTCCTAAAGTATCTCTTAACAATGTCCAGCAACAATCAGTAAGCAAATGTCTTGGTGGTATCTTTCACCATGTTTATCACTTACTGAAAAAAAGTGAATTTTTAGAGACATCTTACATCCTATTCCTTTATAAGCATTAATTAGTTCACTCACAATATCTTTATAATTGTCCCCCTTCATATTGCCTAAAAAAATTGCAATAACTTATTTAAAAGCATTCCGAGCTCGTAATTCAGTTTCATTTCGAGCAGTGTCAAATACATTATCCTTCATAATTTGCCGTATTTGTGGATCCACAAATATGCCCTCTTTAATTTTTGCTTCACTCAGTCTCGGAAATGTTTGTCTTAAATGCAGAAACCCTCTTCCTTTTCGAGCCATAGCTTTTAAAAAAAAAATCATCAGTCCCAACTTCATATGCAAAGGTGGAAGCAACACGTTTTTGGAATCAACTAGTGGTTCATGAGTAATGTTTTTGAGGCCCGGAGTCAATACCTGACGTAGTGGCCACTCTTTCTGTTCATAATGATGACCTCGCGCACGACTCCCATTCACAAAGAAAACAACATTGTTTGGTATATCCCAGTTGCATTCCAAGAAAAGCTATTCCCTTTACATCTGCACATATAGCCCATCTATATTCATTATATGCTCTAACAGAACTCGCCTTTTTTTATATGATTCCGTTATATTAACTGCGCGCGCTATAGGTACAGATGGATGTTTGTTACCGTTGTGTACCAATACCGCTTTTAAACTAAGCTTAGAGGAATCACTGAACAGTCGCCAATCGTTTGGATCATGTTTCTGTCCTAACGCGTCAAACAAACTGTTGACATTGGATCAATATATCAACTCCCTTTCTTGACGGAAACAGTGTGTGAGGTCTTGTTGCCGTTTTCGGTAAAAAGTATTGTTAACATCACCGTGTAGCAGATTCAATTTTTTTTAATCTTGACGCTAAAAGTTCTGACTTGGATTTTGACAGATTTAATTCTCGAGCTGAGTCATTAAGTTCGCCCTGTGTGATCAAATGCGGTGCTGTTGAACATCCTGGCAGGTCAAACGAAGGATCGGAAATTTTTACGCTTTCTGTACCATCACTTTCAGAATCGGTGGATTCGACTTTTTCATCCAAAGACCAAGCTTCTGGTGGAACTGGGACAGAAAGTTTATGACTATGCTTAACGGGCCGCAAAGCTGACGGTAAATTAAAATACTTAACAGTATGTTGTGTCGATTTTGGTCCAATACCTTTAATATTTGTGAGGCAAAAATAGCAATCAGTAGTATGGTCTCTCGGTTCTCTCCAAATCATTGGTACCGCAAAGGCCATTTTACGATTGTCGCCTCTTATCCAACTTGTTAACAACGTTACACAAGTCTTACAATATATATGAGGGGCCCATACTTTATCTTGGTAGCCAAATGTAATTCTAAAATTAAGTTCGTATGCTTTCAACACAAGGGGAGTAAAGTACGTTTTTGGGATTTAAAAGTTAGCTTTCCGCATACCTACAAAAACTGTTCGCACTATTCACACAATTCCTAGGCATTGTCCATAAAGCTAGTCTCGATCACAAGAAACAACTAAAAACAACACAACGTTTTAACAAAAATTAACAGTACTCTGAACATCTCAGTACTCTTCAACACAGACAACGGAACTGAATCAGCTGCTATTAGTCTACTAATAAATGCAATATGCTCTCTACAGATAGAGCTCGCATATAATAAACAGGAATAGACAGGTCTTAACATTGGATCAATATATCAACTCCCTTTCTTGACGGAAACAGTGTGTGAGGTCTTGTTGCCGTTTTCGGTAAAAAGTAATGTTATCATCACCGTGGAGCAGATTCAATTTTTTTAATCTTGACGCTAAAAGTTCTGACTTGGATTTTGACAGATTTAATTCTCGAGCTGAGTCATTAAATTCGCCCTGTGTGATCAAATGCGGTGCTGTTGAACATCCTGGCAGGTCAAACGAAGGATCGGAAATTTTTACGCTTTCTGTACCATCACTTTCAGAATCGGTGGATTCGACTTTTTCATCCAAAGACCAAGCTTCTGGTGGAACTGGGACAGAAAGTTTATGACTATGCTTAACGGGCCGCAAAGCTGACGGTAAATTAAAATACTTAACAGTATGTTGTTTCGATTTTGGTAAAATAACTTTAATATTTGTGAGGCAACAATAGCAATCAGTAGTATGGTCTCTCGGTTCTCTCCAAATCATTGGTACCGCAAAGGCCATTTTACGATTGTCGCCTCTTATCCAACTTGTTAATAACGTTACACAAGTCTTACAATATATATGAGGGGCCCATACTTTATCTTGGTAGCCAAATGTAATTCTAAAATTAAGTTCGTATGCTTTCAACACAAGTACGTTTTTGGGATTTAAAAGTTAGCTTTCCGCATACCTACAAAAACTGTTCGCACTATTTACACAATTCCTAGGCATTGTCCATAAAGCTAGTCTCGATCACAAGAAACAACTAAAAACAACACAACGTTTTAACAAAAATTAACAGTACTCTGAACATCTCAGTACTCTTCAACACAGACAACGGAACTGAATCAGCTGCTATTAGTCTACTAATAAACGCAATATGCTCTCTACAGATAGAGCTCGCATATAATAAACAGGAATAGACAGGTCTTAACATTATCTATGTGAGTCATCGCATAAACGCCGAGAAATGCAGCAATATGAGATGTTACCGAATATCTGTGGGTGATAGAAAAATTCTGTTTTTGGATTCGATTTAAGGGTCTCAAAATACATAAGATACATTCAGAAATTATCATGTCACAAATCCTGTGTTTATCAGTAATCGTTGACTAAATGCTTATCATCAACATTTTTTAACTCACATCTTTTGACTTTTGTTTTTCATCTTTCGTCTACATTTTGCTGTCATTACTTAATGATTATATTAACTGATTGTATTTTTTTTCAGCCCCGGAACATTACTATCCTTGTGATAATCAGTATAGCTAGATTTATCTTCATTCCTTTAATACTGCTTTGTAATGTGCAACCAAGACGTTATACTGCAGTTGTTTTCGACCAAGATTATCAGTATATTTTAATCCTGTTGTTATTTGCGTTAAGCAATGGATACTTGACAAATATCTCTACAATATTTGTAACGAAGTGAGTATTAAACATCTGTTCGGATCAACGAAGGAGGGAGCCTACAGTTTGTTTGTCTTCAAAATCTCAGTTTGTAGTCAGTATGAAAGTGCATAATGAAGGTATCTCTTTCCACTGATCAGTATTGTTATTATTATTATGATGTTGCTACAACGTTGTTACTTTGGTAGGTCGTGGTAGTCAAATAAGCTAAAAACGTGCATTAAACAACCCAATTTTGGCGACAAACAATGCTATGTAAGCATATATGCTTGGCTCCTAATCTCTTTGATTTAATTGTTTTCAAAATATTATGATTAATCAAATATTATTACCTAGTGATGGGCGAATTTTCTACATCTTGTAAAATACTCCATTATCTACCTGATATCCATGTGGACGAGAAGTAGACAAAATAGATGATGTAGACAATAGCAGATTATAGCTCATTTTCGTATACTCGTATGTGACGCTTTTCAACGAGAATTTGGTTAATAGCAGACTGGTAGAGCCGCAAAAGTGGCAATTTGTTTACTGTCGGGCGGTAAAAATAGGCTTCTAGTTAAGTCTCACTTTTCAGCTCATCGGCTTCTTTACGTCCTAGGGTAGTAAAGCAACTTCAGCCCCCACTATCTACATATTGAACATACATGATCATCTTATACCAGAACTGCCATATTTATTTGTTACTAGGCGACGTATTAAACTGCCAACTCTTAGTGATATAGTACTATTATTATACATGCATGTTCACTTGAAGGTTTATCAATTTCTCTATTGATAATAGGCTTGAATATACATATAATAGAATTATTATAATTCACTTTATTATTCACAACGACAAAAATATAATTTTAAATTGTGAATACAGGCTTTGCCACATTTGCTTTGGCGTTTTCCAATAAACTTAACATCACTTAAGTATGCTAATATCGACATTGTTTACATAGTCTCCACTGTCTACGCATTGTCTACATGAAAATGTAGACAAATATAAAGTCTACGGGTAAATGCCTAAAACTGTTCTAACGTTGTTTAAAGATTTTCCCTTTGATTTATTGAAAATAGCTCCAGAAATTTGAGCTCTAAGCTCAAGGAGCTTGATAGTAGCACTTTACATTTATTTTTTTCGGCATCTGTGTTTGCGATTATGCTTGAATTCTGTTGTTCCAAAGCGTATAACATACCAAGTTTTTGATAAATTTTATGTTTCAGAGTTGTGGAGGATCACGAAAAGGAAATAGCATCATCAGCAATTACTATCTTTTTAGTATTAGGCTTAACAGTTGGATCAGCACTGAGTCTTGTTATTGTCAGGTTGATTTAAGTTTTATACAAGAAAATTTCTATGACATGGTAAAAAAATATAGCTAATTGTTTATAATTAATATACACAAATATATCTGGGATATATGGTAATGTGCATTTTAACCATATAGTCATTCCACTGTGAACTTTGTAAGAATCTCTTTTATGTCTAGTCATATTTACACATTACACTAGTGAACTTTTCATTGTGTGACGTACTAATTGTATCGAGACAAAATGTATTCTGAAAATGTACATAATAGGTAAATAAATAGGATGCTAAACGACTGATCTACTTTTATTACTATGAGAGCACCACCAAATTTCATTAATATTCGGTAGCTGGATAAATACAGGTTTACACAAGTATATAGAGTGACAAATACGTCTATGCAAACGTTCATACAAAGCTGAATACTTTTTTCCGTATAAAAAATACTCGAATGTTGAATGTCACATTTAGACGATGTCAACATCTTTTAGCTAAAGTTTCTAAGTATACTGTTCTAACCTCATTTGAAACAGGCATAACAATCAGAGCAATTAAAAAATAATCCTACATAAACATGTTAGATGATTCGATATAGCATAAAAACCTCTGGCCTGGGGTTTTAGACCAAGATATAGGGAGAGTTTGTATAAGGAAATCTTTCCACTTGGATGCTACTAAATTTTTTGGTGGTATCGTTAGATTATTGCTTCCTAATGTTAAGTTCAACTTGGCGTCATGATTGGGCTGGAGCATTTGCAGCCATTTTGATAAACGCGCCTGATTGAAAATCTCAAAAACCATCGGTCGTATGTAAAAAAGTAATAGAAACAATTTTGTGGAAAATTATTCTTCCTCGGTTTGCTTCTATAAAAATGTGTCGTATAGTCATCAGATTATGGAAAATTAAAGGGTACAGGTATGGAATAAGTATGTTTATAATGGCATGACAAATATCGTTTTTTTCAACAAATTTGCATATATAATTTCCAGAATGAGTAAGAAAAAGTAATACCCGTGCCGATCGGCAACAAGCGCTTGCAAACATACGCAAACCAAATTAAACGTTTCTGATGATTTGTTGAGGTTTGCCAAGCGCGAACGCGGTCTAGAATCGGTATGACATTTTAAGGGTGGGACTTAGAACAATAGGAGGCTCTAGGGGGTAGGGGAAGGTTCAAAATTGGCGTATATCCCCTACTGCTACAAACCGAAGGGCTTGATGGATTTTGACATTTGAGGTGTCTTGATAGCACAATTAAAAACCGTTCCCTCCGGTTACTGCAGTCGGGCTTTTTGTATTTTTAAAATGTACTTTACCTTGTTATTGATCGCAATAACGGTAAACCGTTAGCATAAGATCAAAAACACTGATCAAATAATATTTTGTAGATATTTATACTTACAAATGTTTATTAACACCAAAATAACTCAAAAAATTACATAATCGTTTTCAAACTCCTCTTCATCTCCTCGATATGTTCGACAGTAAGATTCATCTGCGGAGGTCTTGCTGATCCAACGTTGAATTCTGTCAAGGACGTCATAGCGGCCTTCATTGTGGGTACCCAATTACCTGAAACATTTGAGTAATGAAATAGAAAATAATATTACACGTGAAAATTGAGACTTTGTAAAGAATTGCAGTTAAAGTATAAACAGAAAGCCAAAACATGCCATATAGCTAATTTTTGGAAATAATTATGACCAGAACTCATATCACTTTATTTACCGCAATAAAACCTGGATCAGATGTAGTCAAAGCTCGTTAATAGTTATTTATCTAACAGGGCGGAGACTACACTTTCCGCAAGTGTTAGATATAAGATTTTTTTTAACAGCGCAGCGCGAGAAAATAGTTTACGCAGAATTTTAAATACGTACTATGTTTTATTTGAATATTAATAATTGTAAAATATAACACGTAATACGTGCGGAAATGTAATGTGTGCGGAAAAGTGCTACTTTCTGCATGCAGATGCGTGCTGAAAGTGAGTACTTTCCGCACGCCTACAGAAAAAAAACTGTTACTCTATTTGAGTCATTTTAACAAAGTAGTGCCTATCACTGACCCTTTTCTCCAAATCTCTTACCGTTCTTTGTTATGATATCACACATTTCATTGAGTTGCAGCTGCAGTTTTCTTGCTTCTGTGACGTTGTTGTTTTTGATTGCATCCCTGATTTTCACAGCATATTGCGGTACTATGTTTAAGGTTGTAGCTATGACAGAGTCAAAGCCCATGGCGAATGCTGATGCCATCAACTAAAATATGTGAGATTTGATTAGTAACAGAGAGTGAGTAAATTCATCCCAAAAATATTTCAATGTCTTAAATTCAGAGAATGTTGACTTAAATTCAAAAATTTGCAGCCTCAAAACGTTCAAGAGTCGGTTGATTTAAATCCATTTTTTTTGTGGAAGTTGCACCTTTTTAGCTGTTCACCTCTGGATTTAATTGATTGAATGTTAGACCGTACATCAGTTAGTCACGATAAAAGCACCCTCGCAATGCATGAAACACTCCTGTTCTCAAAATGTGATGAAATGATTTAAATACATTCAGATTTCTCACTTACAGTATCAGCCCCTAAAAATACGGCATATTTTCCATTGTTTGCCTTCAAAGCTGCAAGTGCGCCATCTAAATCATTCGATGTATATTTGATGCCTTGGAAAGTGGGCACTTGTCCAACTATTTCATTCATACATTTTCCCATATTTACTGAAAAGTAAGGCCATGGTAGAAAGCTGTGTTTTAGATAAGAGCATAGGTTAGGCTAAATAACAGGTGTGCTCTTATATGCAGTTATGCATTTGGTTAGAGGCGTGGACATATAATGTCCTGATAATGTGATATTGGAAAGACGTAGATGAATAAACCATACATCGAAAAAGATATTGTACGTATAGAAAAATTGCTTTCACAGTTTGCAAGGTAAAAAGAGAAACAACGCTTATTTAAGATATACAGTAGCGGACAAAAGTTTGTTAACATTCTTAGCAATTTTTGAAGTGTCCTAAGTTTTTATTCTTTATTATTAAGGAATATTTTTTTTCATATAGTTTGCTTACAGTCTTGAGAATATAAGTGACAATTTGTGTTTGTTGTGGTACTACAGACTAACTAGCATTAAAATACCTTCAGATTATTTCATGACCGAAAGTGAGACGACAAAAATGTATGGAAACATATTTTTTATTACAAAATTAAATACAATTAATCTACAAAAAGATTTAAAAGACACTGTTTAAACTGCTGTCTTGATGCGGGTCTAAAGTCCGTCGTCGGTTGGAATTTCTTCCTAACGTTTCGCTAGCACGACTGGCAAGCTCCTTCAGAGGTCTTTCCACTTCGGATGCTGGATGTAGACTGACGATTTCTCTTGCGCAGGTTGTATTTATACCGGAGGGTACGGGACGTGGCTTGTTTCGCTTCGGTTGCCTTCGGGATGTCGATCGGCACTAATCGGGCGTTTCTGAGGATCGAGTGCCAGATCGGGTTGAGTCTGAGGGTCTCTTCCTTCCTGTTAAAGTTATCTGGATGTTTGTGAATCTCGATAGCTTCCCTGACCAGTCTATTGTGATAGCCGTTGACTGATGTCAGCAGCTGCAGCTCCCAAAGTGTATCCTGTGGTACCCATATTGTTTAGTGCATGTTCAGCTACCGCAGACTTCTCAGTTTGTCCTAGCCGGCAATTTGCTTTGTGCTCCTTGAGTCTCGTTCCCATTGATCTTTTCGTGGTTCCAATGTATACTTTGCCGTATGAACATGGTATTCGGTAGACTCCTGCAGCTGAGAGTGGGTCCTTCTTGTCCTTTGCCGATCTGATGGTTTGTTGGATCTTCTTCGTAGGCTTGAAGATTGTTTTAATGTCTTGTCATGTCTCTTCAGGACTCTGCCAATCCTGTCTCGAGCCCATTGATCTTTCGATGTCCCTCTTGCTGTAGCCTTTTGCTTCGAACGCAGTTTTCAGGTGTTCAAGTTCTGTCTGGAGGTTCTACGGTTCGCAAATCCTTCGAGCTTGTTCTGTCAGGGTTCTGATAACAAGCGTGCAGATATCTGTCTGTGTGCGTTGGTTTCCTGTACACTGTGTGACCCAGCTTGTTACCCCGCTTCCTGACTAGTACGTCCAAGAAGGCCAGTTGTTGGTCACTCTCTATCTAAATGGTAAATTGTATGCTTGGATGCCGATCGTTGAGGTGTTGCAGAAACTCGTTTAGCCTGTCCGTGTCATGTTTCCAAATCACGAAGGTGTCTTCCACGTACCGGGACCAAATTGCTGGTTTATTCTTCGATGTCTCAACCGCCTTCTTCTCAAAGTGTTCCATAAAAAGGTTGGCTATGACTGGGCTAAGTGGACTTCTCATTGCCACTCCGTCTGTCTGCTCATAAAAGCCCCCGTCCCATACGAAGTAGCTTCCAGTGAAACAGATTTCAAAGAGCTTGCAGATGTCAGAAGGGAAGATCCTGCTCACCAGATCCAGGCATTCCCTCAGCGGTACCTTGGTGAAAAGGGAGACGACATCGAAGCTCACAAGGATGTCGTCGGATTCAACTACGATGTCCTGTTTAGCTAATATTTGGTAGCATTCAACATTGCCTGACATCTGCTGCTCGTAGAAGACACCAATTTCTTATAGATGTCTGTTGGGATATTTTGGCTAATATTATTTGAATAACCAAAAAAATCTTTCTTTTTTTTAAAGTTTTTCTTGACAGTTTTTTAACATGCTCCCAGAGATGTTCTATCAGGTTTAGGTCCGGGGATTGCGAAGGCCATGTAAGAACATTAACATTTTTTAGTCTTAACCAGTCCTGTACGAATTTTGAGGTGTGCTTGGGGTCATTATCTTACTGGAATGTCCATCGTAAAGGCATTTCTTCTTCAGCAAAAGGGATGTGTTCACTAAGAATATCTTTGTAAGGTTTTTGTCGAATCTTTTTCGTGTTGCACGTCTCACATATGCCGTGCCGTCAGATCCAAACAACTTGAATTTGCTTTCATCACTCCATAAAATTGTATTAAATTGTTGTTCTGTCCAGGTTAGATGAGTTTTAGCGAATTCAAGCCGACCAATACGATTTTTTTCAAATGACCGGCTTTTGCACTGGACGCCTAGCAAAAATCCACCAAGCGTCTCTGCGCTGTTCTGACAGAAAGATTCTTGGCACCCTCTTCTACGATTCTCTTGAAAATTCGAGGGTCTTCATGGGACAAACGTTTGATTTAGGGATTCAAAACATAATCGGTTTTTTTCGGTCTTCCGCACCTGTACCGCGTTGCTGTTGTTCCGTATTCTTGATATTTACTAGTAATTTTCGAAATCGTCCCTTTGTTCATTTTTAATCTTTGAGAAATGACAACATTTCTAACACCACATCTAAATAATTTAATTACTTTGTCTCTTAAATCTTTTCAAAATTCTTCAATCTTTGCCATTCTCACTGATATCAATATTTACCGCACGCTATATCAGAGTATCGCAGAACGAATAAATACGGCAAAACTGAAATGTTTCCATACCTTTGTCGTTACAAAAACTGTGGCACTTAAAATAACGCGTGTCTTTATTCTCAGAAAATTTGAATATTAATAAGATACGGGAGCCAAAGGTAGACTTTAATATTTATATTATCTGTTCCTTCACAATTTTAATTTGGTATATTAAATAGTTTATAATGTTAATATTTGTTTCCATACTTTTGGCCGCTACTGTAGCACTTATCTGATAATTCTAGCTACTGTATAATATCATGTAACATGCAGTGATATCTATATTTTTTTTCCATTGAAAGAAAAGTTGTTTGATGACACATCGTACTCGTTAAGAATTGATCCACAATGATTAGCAGATAAAACAATAAAACAATACAGAATGATTACATAAGTTCACAACTTTATGACCATTTTTGGATAGCGGGTCCCCAGATAACTATGGAAACCAAAATTCCTTGGAACAATTGATGTAGCTTATTTTATCGTATATTAAAAAAATAGAATGCCATCAAAACAAATATTAGTTGACAGTGTATATCTGTTAACACGCTTTTATTAGCTTGGCCTGTATGTTCCTATGTGTGTAACGGAATCTTTGAGCATAATTTTCAATAATTTCCAGAAGTTTGATTAATTTGAAACTTCAAACACGTTTCAAGGACCGATGACAATACAATATCATTACATGTCCACATAAAGATAATTGATGAATCGAACTAAAAAATGAAAAATAAATAATAGTTTAAAAAAACTAAAAAAAAACGAGATAACCGAACTAAAAAGTTAAAAATAATTTTTAATTGCAAAGAGTTTATATTACAGTAGTAGGTGGTCGAACAATCAATCATAATTAATTATCTTAAAATAAAATTATAATAAAATTTAACTTATTAACAGAATAATTAAATTCAGAGTAAAAAGCGTGGGTTGCATTTTACTATATTTTCACAACTATCCTCTCATAGATAGCTGCCAATAGAATGATTGTAACATTCAATGTATCAGCACCCCATGCTTTTTACTCTGAGTTGAATTATTCTGTTAATAACTTGAATTTTATTGTAATTTTATTTTGTTTGATTAATTATGATTGATTGTTCGACCATCTACTACTTTAATATAAACCCTTCATCATTAAAAATTATTTTATACTTTTCAGTTCGGTTAGCTATAAAAGCGTGTTTTTTAGTTTTTTAAACTATTATATATATATATATATATATATATATATATATATATATATATATAGTTAAAACAGTGTTCTTCTGATTCGACTTGACATGCGTTTTTTTGCAAAGGATTAGTCATACGCTCTACCTACTGTTTACTCCTGTCCAAACTGGTATATGGTAATAAAGTAATGGAGTTTTTGGGGCAGCTTCTCCCACAATCTTCAGATAATGTATTAGTTCCTTGGACGTTGCTGGTTTAAAATATAACTCGGGCAAGCACAAGAGAGAGTCAACGCCAACCTACAAGTAAATGTTCTGGTAACTATGAACTTATTTTTCTTTGATTCGTATATACTGTTAGATTAATCAGAATCATGATTGTTACTTAAACACTTTCTAAAGGTATTTGTCCATTTAGGACAGGATATAGGACTTTTTGCTACAATATTAGAGACGATATGTCATATCGTTAGATTACTGTTTCCTAATGATAAGTTCAAACTGGTGTCATGACAGGGCTGGAATATTTGTCGCCATTTTCATAAATGCGTTTGATCAACAATCTCGACTGCATCAATCCTATGTAAAAACGCACGAGAAACAAATTTGTAGAGGTTCAAATTCTTCATGGTTTTGCTTCTATAAAGATTTGACGTATAGGCAACAGATCTCTAGAAACATGTCATGATATTTTCGCTCATCTGGTTAAACTAACAAACTAATCGTATAAAGACTACTACCCCTTTTAGTAGAGGATAAAATCTTCTACAAAAAAGATCTGTTACATTTTTACGACAGCCTGATGATTCTTGAAGTATAACGAGGAAAAGTAAAATTTTCTTTTCAAAACAGTGCATACAAATTTGAATTTCTGAAGCTATGCTACATCCTATATAGTAGACAATATTTTTAGGTGGAATATCATTTGATTCCAGACAATCCTTAAATAAAAACCATTTCTGTAACTGCCTGGTACAGTCGATACACTCCGCACATGTTAATTTTATATGAAAATAAAGATAATTTTATCTCAAACACATCCTTTTCTTAGGAGTATTTTGGAACATGAACGTTAAAAAATGAGCCTGGAATGCTAACATACTTCGTACATCAATGGAGCTTATTCACGCTTCAACCACTAGATATAGAAATAGAAATTCTAGAAAGCAATAAAAAATAGATACTAAAATTATAACTTTTACTTTACAATCGTGAAACTTTTTTACGGAGGTAAACGAAAAGAACCTAAAGGATGCGTTTGTTTAAATAACTTTAAATAACTACTGAGGTGAACAGCTGATCAGCAAGAGACATTTTGGTGTCAGTTTGCAACGTTGGTAATAATGAATCGGGTATAAATCTAGTGGAACTTGTTTGTGGCGTTTTATCTTTTGTATGCAAATGAACTTTTCTAAATGAAAGAGCTGTTACCAAGTACAAGGCATAGGCAGCAGCGTTGGCCGCAGTAGTAGACTCTTCGGTCTCCTGATCAGTCGCCGTGCGCTGTGCGGGTTCGAATCCCGCCTCAAGAGAAATTTTTCTCTTGGCTATGGATGTTGTGATTGTCCGTACGTGGTAGACGGTCACGGACTGCCGGACGCAGAGGTACCACCCGGCGGATCTTGTAGGCGGGGCCAGAATGTGTGCATGTTGCATGCATACGTGTTCCCTCGCCAGAGTTAGTGTGGCGTTCCCCCTTTCCCCTGTATCCCCCTATAGCCCCACGGTTACCCATGGGTGTTTAGGCCTTGGGCCTTCGTGGTGGTAGTCAGAGTCGTATTTTGTTGTTTTTTTTTTTTGTAAGCTACAGATTCATTATATACTTGCTAACAGCTCTTTTATTTAGAAAAGTTCATTTGCATACAAAAACAAAACGCCACAAACAAGTTGCACTAGATTTATACCCGGTTGATTATTGCCAACGTTGCAGAGTAACACAAAAATGTCACTTGCTGATCAGCTGTTCACCTCAGAAGATGTCAAAGCGTGATGGATACTCGTGAAATATAGTCAGTGGAATTCTTTTTCTTGGGTAAATAGTTCGTGTATTGGCACGCTCGCAATGATCGTATCGAGTTGATTTCCATAAACATACACATTTTTCACAATCGAAATGATAAAATATGGCTGACAGAAACTCTTACTTTCCAACCCCGCAACTTTTTTCTGCCTGACTGTGTGAAGAAAACTTATTCCAATAAGACCTAATGCACAGTAAAGGAGATAAACAAAAAAACCCAAAATCATGCAACTATTTAAATAACACAATCTCCAAAGGCCTAATTTGTGTGGAAAATGTGGATTTATTCTTTGTTGTGATCCCCTTTAAAACCGAAACAAAAACGAAACCACACTATTTTTGGCAAGAAACATCATGTTCCTTTTTGTAAAGGTCAGTCAATAGTTGTCTGATAATATCAGATTGTAGGTGCACACATTTATACGTGGCGTATTGTGTCCTGTATATTACCTTCTCTGCATGTCTAGTTAATTCTAAGACATCTGGCAAGGGACACCCTCCAACTTGTAGCATAAGGTGTTGCTTAGTCGTTTTCACTGCCTTCACCCATTGTTCTACCACAGTTTTTCTCTCAGCTACCGTCATGGCCATACCTTCCCCAGTCGTACCATGCACTGAAGAAATATCACATTCATTTATTAGTCTTAATCTGGGAACGAAGGCTCAACACACTTTATCCAGCTGTGGTGGAGTCAGGTAACATGCGACTTCACATAAATCAGTATACAAATTTTGATGAGCAGATTGACGAAATGATTGGTTTTTTTCTACCCCTCTGGTACTACGGGGTCGGCAAAAAGAGTCAAAGGTGGCCTAGCTGGCAGGCTTCGCGTCCCCACCATTACTACTCCATCAAAATAAGCCTAATAGGTAGAAGCTTTCAATGATGAATTGAAGAAGTAAGTAATATACAAAAAAACATCTTACCCAGGACACCATCCACCCCATTATCTGCCAAAAACTTTGCATATTTTGGTATGATTGCAGTGTTGACAGACCTAGAATAAAAAATTATATCTATCCATCAAAAGATAAGTCACCTACACCAGACCGTTGCATTTTTGTTGTTGAGTCAACATTCCCGAGTATTTTCACAACCGTTCCTGTAGCTTTCTGTTACTTGTGTCAATGGCATAAAAGATGCAACACTGACTAGGAGTGCTGTTATTTTGAGCATACCTTTACAAGAAAAGCGGATGTGGAAGTCATGCTACCTCGAATGAACACTAATCGTGGCCTGCTGCCGTAAGCAATGGTACTGCTTACCATACCACCCACAGTGCGATGAATATGACGTTCGATGGAATTTTGGACGTCTCCTCTTTACTCTTGCATGAGTGCCCAAACAGAATCTGGACTAATCGCTGAGCACGGCTGAGTTCCATTCCATATTCCATTCAACTCTGTCCCTACTCCATACCAATCGTTGCCGACTATGCTGTGACGTCAGAGGTAGTGCAAGATGGGGACGGTATGAAAACATTCCAAAAGACCTTATTCGGAGATAAACTGTCCTCACTGTTATTGCCCTTCTGATAGCATCAAACCACTGGTTTGCAACTGCCCTTGATGTCGAAAATCGATCTCTAAGTGCTAGGTGCATCAAATAACGATCCTGTCGCTCTGTAATCTGTCTTTGGCGTCCAGTACCTCTAACTCGTCGATTTCGGCCGACAACATCTCATTACAGTAGCTTTGTTTCGATTCACCCGATTAGCGATTTTTCTAAAAGAAAATCCGGCTTCACGTAACCCCAAACTCCGAAAGTTGAGTGAAATTAGCGCGTCTGCGAACTCTAGCCATGATAATGCAACGAAACAACAATGAAACAAATTTCCCTGAGCAAGAAAAATCACTGAATATTAAGTAAACATGTTCATATTGTCCGGATCTTGATATGGCAAGAAAAGCCTTTACAAAAAAAGTACGGCTCGGAATTTTATCAGCATACGAGGGATGTCTTTTAAGTTTTGCATATAGAAACATAGTGGGCCGCGCGGATCGAACGTCAGTACTGAATCTTAACCTCACTCTTTAGTAAACTTAAATTCAAAGTTTCACAACAATACGTGCAGTGTTCTCACTACAGTGAATTTTTCAGTGTCACCAAGTCATTAGAAAAATGGAACTCAACCGAGAACATTTTCGCGCCATAATTTATTACAACTTTTAGAGACAATAATTGTCGCAACAAGAATGCCTTGCTGAGTTACTGTCTGTTTTCGGCAACGAAGCACCACATCAGTCGACAATTCCCCGTTGGTATGGAGAATTCAAACGTGGACGGCTGAGTCTTAGCGACGATCCCAGGGTCTGTGCACCAAAAACGGCAGTCACCCAGGAAAACGTCGATGCTGTGCGCAAACTCATCATTGACATGTGACATATCGCGAGATTGAGGCATCCTTTTGAACATCGCAAAGACCTCAATTCAAAAAAATTTGCATGAAGAATAAGCACTAAGAAAATTAGTTTATCGTGTATACTCCATCTGTTGACTGAAGAGCAGAAAGCAGCCAGGGTTAATTGGTGTCAAAAAACGCTTGACCGTTTCAATTCCGGAAACTCAAAAAATGTGTACAGCATTGTTAGTGGTGATGAATCGTGGATTTACTGTTATGAACCAGAAAATAAACGACAGTTGGCTGTTTGGGTGTTCCAAGGTGAAAAAAAGCCAACAAAAGTCATCCGTTCTCGAAGTGTTTCGAAAAAGATGGTCGCGCCATTTGTGTCAAAAGCAATTAGCATAGAACTGTTACTGCGGATTGGTATACCACCATTTGTTTGCCAAAAGTTATCACCGAGCTTCGAAAAATCAATCCCGAAAGAAGAATCATCCTCCACCAAGACAGTGCAAGCTCGCACACAGCTCAAAAAACAAGTGAGTATTTAACGGAAGAAAACATGGAATTATTGGACCATCCTCTATATAGTCCCTATCTAAGTCCTAACGATTTCTTTACTTTCCCGAAAATTAAAAACAGACTGCGTGGTCAAAGGTTTCAGTCACCAGAAGAAGCAGTTAACGCATTCAAAAACGCCGTGTTGGATCTGCCAGCAAACGAGTCGAATAAGTGCTTCGAAAATTGGTTCGAGCGCATGCAGATGTGTATTAATCTTCGTGGAGAATACTTCGAAAAACAATAAAGTCACTTTAAACTACCTACCGTGTTGTTTTATTTCCATATGCAAAACTTAAAAGACATCCCTCGTATACTTCCATGATAGCAAATATGTTTACAAGTTTTTATCAAAATGCAATAAATAATTCTGGGTGTTGCATTTTATATGTCACTTAGTATACATAATTGTCTTTTAATTTCTTTACTTACAGGTCAGTGTTAAAAACTGTGAAAACTGGAGCACATATTCCTCTATAAGTTAGTTTTACCTGAAAGTACATTCATCTTAGTTAATTAAAATATGTTTTGTATTATGCCCTTACCATGGTGAACCGATTACACACATGTATTTTGGTATAGCAAATAATTAAAACTGAGACAGTGGAAAATATGAAGATGTAGACCTTTATCACTTATTATATTGAATTATGTTTACGCTGGCTTATCGCAAAACTCGACATCATTATCTTTGAAAAAAAAAATAAAACAATGTAAATTGCTAGCGTTGAGACGTTGAGATGCGTTTTCATTACTAGGTAGAGGGTCCAGACGAATAATGGCAGGAGCATTACATTTTTGTGCGAAAGAGGCTCGTATTTCGGTTAATTTCTTCGTAAACGGTGTTCTGACCCAAATCTTCGAATTCAAAATACTAACTAGCCACATACTCCATCGTTTTCAGCATGTTCCATCCGATTTTTAAATATAGCTGAGATATTTTTATAGAAGGCTGAAAATATGTAAACACCTTTCACTCATAAAAGAAGCCAAATTATTTAAGAAATCGCCTCTTCAAATATGGTTGATGCCTTATCAGAGAATTTGATTCGACAGCTATCTAATATCCACTAACATTTATAGTCTACAACTGTTGCATCTGTACTTGCTGAATAAGAATGAGGCAGTTCCTATTTTTTTAAACACACTTGATGATAGGCTAACTAAAGCGAAGCAACTGCAAAAGCTGAAGTAGTAAGCACACAACATCAACAGAGTCCTTTTGATACCGAAGCAGCCGCGCAGGCTGAAGCCTAAATGCCGGGGGGTCACCGCGGCTGCTATGATGATCCCAAAGAAATTTTGTTAATTCGATTTTTGAACTGCCTAAGGTTAGAAGAACTGGGAAAAGCTTCCTCTTGTAGATTGTTCCACAATCTCGACTCCCTCGGGACAAAGGAGCGGTCGTATCGTCCAGTTCTGGATGTACGGAGTTCGACACGGTTAGGATGGGAGGCTAAAGTCAGGCGGGTCTGTCTAGCAGGCACAGCTCGCGGCGGCATCATGGAAGAGAGCAAAGCCCGTTGGTGTAGCGGTAGAAGAGAGCTAGATCACCGACGGCCCACCGGTGCGAAAGGATCCCGAGACTGTCTGTTAGTGAAGAGTCATCGATCAGTCGGACAGCCCTTCTCTGGACAGCATCGAGCATAAATAATGTAGTCGAGGCGGCAGCACCCCAAACGTGTGAGCAATACTCGAGGCTAGGCCTTATCTGTGCCTTGTATAGACAAACCCTAAACAAATATCCTAGCTTTTTCCCAGCAGCTGCCGCTATTGACGAGATGTGTTCCTGCCAGATCAAGTCCTCGGTGATTTGGACTCCGACCAGCCGAAATGAATGGCTCTTAGGCAGAACTCGGCCATCCATCGAAACCGGATGAGCGCTAGAACGCTTTTTGTTCGTCAAGCTACAGTACTGTGTTTTGGAAGCGCTAAACTGTACAAGATTGTTGCGTCCACAAGCAGTGATAACCTCCAGGTCTCTCGTCAGAGAGGAAGTCGTCCTAGCCTTCTTTTTTCCACTCTGAATTTCTGCATGTAAAGTGCTGTCATCAGCGAAGCTGTGGATTGGGTTGATCGTGCAGGAAAGGAGGTCGCTGATATGTAAGAGAAACCGTGTCGGATCCAAGATCGATCCCTGCGGAACACCCGCGTCGACGTTGTGGGATGAAGAAGAGAACCCATCAATTACGACAGATATTTTGCGGCCAGAGATAAAGTCAGCCACCCATCTACAAAGCTTTTCTGGGAGGCCGTAGAATGGAAGTTTGCTTAAGAGGGCAGCGTGCCACAGCTGATCGAAGGCTTTCGTGATGCCAAGTGCAATGACATGAGCCTCACCATAAGTCTGCATGAGTTTACTCCACAATTGCATGACGTAAGCTAGGAGGTCCCCTGTGGATCGCTGGTGCCGTAAACCATACTGCCTGTCGCTAATCAAGCTGTGACGATCGAGGTAGTCCAGAAGCTCGCGATTTATGCACCTCTCCATCACCTTACTTATAACAGAAAGCAGAGCTATAGGCCTCTAGTTGTAAGGGTCGGTCTTAGATCCTTTTTTTGGGATAGGTTGGACATGAGCAAACTAACAGTTTTCTGGGAAGGTGCCGAATTCATAAGATATCTGGAAGAGACGCGAAAGAACTGGAGCAAGCTCCGCTGCACACGTCTTCAGTATAATGGCAGGAATCAAGTCCGGTACCAGAAGCTTTGTTGATGTCGAGCGACAAGAGTACTCGTCTTACGGTCTTATGCCTGAATGTTACTTCCCGCATAGTGTGGGGAACCCTTTGAATTGACGGCACTTTGGCGTTGGGGGGGGACGTCCATGGTGGAGTTGGCAGCAAAGATCTTGGCAAACACTTCCGCCTTGGCATTTGAGTGGGATAGAATCGTTCCATCCTGACACGTAAGTGGTGGAAGGCTACTGTGTGAAAAATTCTTTTCAATCTGCTTGGCCATTGGGCTGCGACATTACCCTGTGCCCAACTTTTATATCGTGCTGGTTTTGGCATTGCAAATCGCTTCGTTATATTTGTTTCTGGACTCGACGTCGGCTTGTCTGTTCTCTATAGTGGGGCTTTGTAAGAAGGTTCTGTGAGCCTTGATCTTCTGCTGGCGAGCAGTGTCACACAATTTGCTAAACCAGCCTTTGGACCCTGGTTTAGTCACTTTCACTTTATGAGAGATGTATTCCTCCATTGCGACGTGGATAATTTCGGTTAACGAAGAACAGGCAGGCGACGCATCAGGGTCAGTGAGACAGCCATCGCTTAAGGAAAGGTAGAGAAGAAGTCTCTGAGCCCCACCCAGTCGGCATGTCCATAATTCCAAATTTTGCGACGTGTGCGAGTTTCTGCTGCCACAGCGGGTTCTGACCGAAACCTAACATCCGCCACACCGAGGTCTGAGTTGCCCAGGGGGCACAAGACAGCAGTGCTGTAACGGACAGGATGCGTGGTCAGAAAGAGATCCAGCAGGCTACTGGTATGTGACGAGACGCGGGGGAAAAATAGGGCTTGTCACCAGCTGGGTCAACCTTTGAGAAAGAGCGAACACTTCAACTGCACGACCTGCTGCATCGGTCTTGTTTGAGCTCAACCAAAGCTCATTATGGGCATTGAAATCACCGAGAACTAACATACCTCTGAAGCGGGGTGATTGATGTTCAGGAAGTCGATCTTGACCGCGAGGTATTCACGTAGGTCATCCCAATTATGGTCCGAGGGAGAGCGATAAAGGCAGCAAATAAATTTGGGGGATGTTTCGGAGTTGATGCGAAGCTACAGAATGTCCTTTCGGTCTGATTTCAAAGAAACATCTCCCGAGCAGGCAAGACTGCTGCGGACAAAAGCCACAACTCCCCCGTTCTCTCTCGGATTTGAGTGCACCTCGTAATTTGGGAAGCTGAGATGGTTAATCGGTGCAGACGGCGGAACGATTGGTTTGCAAATGCCTTGCATTGCATTTTGCATTCATGAATTATATCAATTACGGAGGAAGGCAACGTTTCGGCATGTGTTGAGGCAACGCCTTCACAATCATGTAGGGTTCTAGAGCAGGAAGTTGGAGTTTCCAAGAATATTGGCCAAATATAAATTACGACGTTTACTGTTGTATTTGGAACAAATTCGTATCGACGAGGCCTACTTTTCGAGTGCAGGTATTTTGAATAGCTATAATACTAGACCATTGATTACCAAAGTGGTCTATATCGACCCCTAGGGGTCTATGACAACCTGCAAGGGGTCTTACTTACATCATACTATCTTATAATATCAAAACATATACATTATTTATAAAAGTACCTATGAAGTAAAAAATTTATTATATATGTTTATAAAATTGTGTAAGTTGTAGGATGTTGGTATTCGCTTTGTGGTCGCAATACTTGTTCAATTCGTCAATCTATAAATACGAATGTGGACAAATACGTTTACTCGTTTCCTGAATCTTGAAAAGGAAAGTGCTAAGAAAATATTTTAAACAATATGAACAGATAGTATATCACACAAATTATAGTGAGTCAGTGTTATTTTGTTTGAGAGTGCTGGAGAAAAGTAAGTACATTATTTTTTATTAAATTTTAGTTTTGTACTCGTAGTTAGCAAAGATAGATAAATTACGCCAATCATGACTTTAGTTATTAGTAGTTAAATATTCAATCATGCAAAATTACACGAGTACTCCTCAATAGTTTCTGTTTGAAAGTTTTAGCAATCGGTAATATAGTTACAGTGCAATCTCCGTAATTCGAGTTAATTGTTGCAAGGAGATGTACGAATTATGGAATGTTTACGGAAAAATCAAAAAATATTTTTAATATACAGCTGCTTGATTTTCTGTCTTATTTAAGTAATTTAATTTTGCCCACAGATGACTGATGCCATGTCCGAATCTAAAAAGAAATGTAGACTGTAGAGTGTTGATTATTTGAAATTTGGCTTTATTCCATCATTGCCGGACAAACAATCGCCGGTTCAGTTTAAAAACGGATATCAGCAATTCTGGCTGCAAAACAGCATACCCGTTACTTATCCCGTATTATGGAATATAGCGAGGAAATTTTTAATTTCCTTTCCATCGTCATACCTAGTGGAAAAGGGGTTCAGCGCTGTTACCAATCTCCTAACGAAAAAAAGAAACAGACTGGACATCATTAGCCGAGGAGATTTAAGATTAACCCTTACAAAATTGACGCCAAATGTTATTATTAAAGCGTCAGGTTCATCCTTCTCACCTAAAATATTGACTTATTGCTTATGTTATTTTATTTATAGTATATTTTATGTTTATTGGTGTCTGACCAATAAATGCCCGCATTGATTTTTTTAAAGAACCCCCCTTTATAGAAATATTTTTTTTTAATTATTCTGAAAATTCAAGGATAGGTACACACTAAAATTTGTTAATTTTTTGCCTATTTTTAGATAACTTAAACGTATAAGAAGCGGAATTTAATCAAACTAACAGTGAAATTATTGTATTATGTTATAATTAATAAACGAACTCGCTTATTGTACTATTTTAAGTAAAACACTTTTTTTATTATTTTTCACTTTTTTCAATTTTATCCCTCTTATTCCCAATGCGGGCACTTATTGGTCAGACACCTGTTATTTAATGTTACGTATATTTTACATAACAGATACAAAATTTTATTTTGAGTAGTTTTAATTTAAATTCAATCAATAAATGTATAAATTAATATGTGTTTTTACTTTAAGTTTTTAACACTAAACTTCACTACAGTTAGACATTTACAGGAAATCAATATCAGGTAAGTAGGGGGTCTACCCAACACGGAA